AGTGAGAAAAGGGGGGTTGCACCTAGTCCCCGCCCTGTCCTACTTTTTATTACATTCTCACTAAAAACAAGTAATTATTTAGACATGTTATTAATAGATATTAACAGTAACTAAACTGCCTACCCTATTTTAACCCTTTAATATACCCTGCTAATATAATAAGAATATAACTACTACTAAAAAGGCTACTAAAGTAATATTTGCTGCCTAGTAATAGGCTAACTAATTTAACTAGCCTAGCAAGGAGCTGTCTACTGTACCCTTTATCTACTAACTTGCCTAGCAGTATAATATATCTAATACTTTTATTTACTAGTATCTCTAGGCTTTTTAGGCTAGCTATAACCTTTGCGCTAGCCTAGATAAGGGTAGCTAGCCCTAGTTACTTATAGAGGCTAAAGATATAGCTCTTAGTGTATTTATTATATAGCTCTATAAGTCTAGCTTTCTGGCCCTACTGTTATAGGTTAAAGAAATAGCTAATTACCTCTACAGTATCTAGGGCTAGCCGCCTATCTTTAAGCACTTTATTTAAAGCTAGCTTACTAACTATCTAGAGCTCTAGAAAAAGGGCACTATTAAGCTAGTTAAGTTATACTAGAAGGGGGCTAAGTTAGACCTGGCTCTAGTAGAGGACTTCTTTGCCTAGTACTAGGCTACCCTCTGTAACTATAATATTAGCCTATCTAAGATATAGAACGCTAATAAATCTAACTACTAGATTAGTTACCTTAGTAGCTAGCTTTATATAATTATCCTTAAGTAGCTACTAAAATATAACTGCCTACCTAAAGTTATAGATCTAGCTAATTAAGAGTTATATATATTAGTTAGGTATAGTAATATAACTAGTAATACTATCTTAGTATATATAATCTTTAAAATATAGCTAGTTACTACTTAAGTAGATTATTAGGTCTAAGAAGGTATTTACTTTATATATTTACTAACTAGCTTCTCTAACTAAGAGATTATAATAGATTATATATAGCACTTTAATATAGAGTTATATATAAAGTTAATAAAGTATTACTAGATAAGCTACTTCTTTAGGGACTATTTTAGTGTTAATATATATAGTTATAATACTTATAATTTATATCTACTTAATAATTAACTAAGTAAACAAAAGGTAAAGTATTATAACTATTAAGATACTATAAAAAAGTTAAAGTAGCTATATTACCTTTTTCTCCTTAATAGATTTATAGGCTATATAAGTCTAAAGCTTATAGAATATTATATTAACTTTAATATTATTATTACCTTTTTTTTACCTTATATAATGTACTTCTTTTAGCTAATAGATATAGAAGTTTTTTAATACTTTAAGAAGGCTTATTAATAAGTGCTTTATAACTATATATAGGAAGGCAACCTTATATTTATAAGGGGTAACTTTATTGCTACCTTAAATACTATAGTTAAAGAGGCCTTTATAGCTGCCTATATTATAAAGGGCTTTAAGAAGGCAAGTATATAGCCTATATATAATAATATTATACTAGCCTAGCTAGTAAAAAGGATATAATAAAGTAATAAGGATATACTATTATACCTTATATATTTTTTACTATATAATAACTACTTTAATAAGGCTATCTTTACTACTAACTATATAAAGGAGAAATATAGTAGTATATAGAGTAATTCTTTAAGAAAAAGATTTAAAGTAGTAAAGTAAGTAATTTATAAAGGATCTTTTACCTATAAGTACTAGTAGTAATATATTAAGGACTAAAATACTAGACTAGTAATATAGTAATAGAAGAGCTAGTGCTAGTAAGCTATTAAACTATAATACTCCTTTATAACTAGTGTTACTATTATAAATATAAAAAAAGTATATAATAAGTAAGTTATAAAGGCTATATAAGTAGATATATAGCGCTAATAGGCAGTAGTAAAAAAGATAGCCTATAAGTAAAAAAAAGAGGTCTAGTAGTAATATAGTGCTTTAAAGTATTAATAAGTAGATAAATAAATAAAGTAACTAACCTTTAAATAGTAGCTTATCTATACTAAAGAAGATTAACTATATATCTTATTTAACCCTTTAGATCTATAGTAGTATAACTTAAATAATACTATATATAAAGAAAAATTTATAATAGATCTTAATTTAACCTCTCTACTATAGTATATACTTAACTACTTTAAGTATATAGTAAGACCTCTTAGTTAAGGTAATATTAACTAAGCATTAGCTAATATAGCTGCAGAGGTAGTAGGGCTATACTTTAACCCTAAGATCTTTATAGACATTAATAACCCTATTAACAAGGACATTAATTTAGTTATATTAAGTAAAAAATTAGTTAGTATACCTAGGAGTAATAATAATAATAATAATTATATATTATTACTATTACTACTAATAACACTAATAGCTAGCCTTTTAATATTATAAGGTCCTTTATAATATAAGTTATAATATTATACTCTAAAGGATAAGATAGATAGTTAAAAGGTAACAGGGGTTATACTACAAAATATCCTATATATACCCCTATTAATATAAAAAAAGGAGTAGTAATATATAGTAAATAATAATAAAAGTAATACCTATATTATAGTAGTAATATAAATTTATAGTTATTATAGAAAAAGGGAAAAAAAGGTACTACTATAAAGCCCTTAATTAGGGCTATTAATTAGTACTACTTTTGTTATTATATAATGTTGTAGTAGTTGTTGCTTTAAGAAATGAAAAGTTGACTATACTATATAACGTATATAAAAGTGAGGGTATTCGTGATGTGGGTGCAACCCCCCTTTTCTCACTGCAACCCCCCTTTTTTCGCCCCCTCCGTGAGGAGGGGGTATTTAGCTCACAGCGCTGACTAAGTTGCCCCCGGGTACACGGCAATCACCGATCCTGGTCAAGGTAGCCTCACATGCTGTGCTGTACGTACCTATCTATCGAAAGTGCCCTCTCTCCGTCACCTCGACTTGCTCCTTCCGCCTACACCCACACCCACGATTGAACCAGAATCCCACTAACCCATTCGACACTCTTGCTTTGCGAAACTTGCGCCAAGATCTTGAGAAATCTCAGCTTTACTTGCCCGTCAACACCCATCAACTGCGATTGGTATCTGGGCGTCTGATCCTCAGTACTGAGCCACTTCGACCAGTTGTCCTCCTTTCCTTTTCGTTACCACAACAACACACAACTGTTATCAAAATGGCCGATAGATTCCCTTCCCTAGAAGATTTTGATTCGGGCGGTATGTACATAATGAAGCTATGAATACATGGCCAAGCTGACAAGTGGCATGTAGCCCAAACCGACATCAAAGACTCAGGCGCCTCCCCCTCTGCCGACGACTTCCTTGCTCGTGAGAAGGCCCTTCTCGGCGATGATGCCGACCAATTCGCCACCGTTGACGACTCTGCTGCCTTCGATACTGGTGATGACGACCTGCTGGGTGGTGGGGGTAGCGGCAACGTCATCAGCGAAGAGTCCACCTTCGAATCTCAGTTCCCCGATCTTGCCAACCAGAATGAGGTTCGTTTCCCACGCCGTTCTGTCACACGTCCTGTCTAAAACCACATGAATAGGCTCTTGCTCCGGGTGCGATCCCCGGTGCCGGTATCACAGCGCCCAGCGTCAACTACAACTCCGGTTACAGCGCCTACGTCGAGGAAGAGGAGGAGCCTCCGGTGATCCGCGAATGGCGCGAGAAGAGAGATGCCCAGAACGAGAAGCGTGCGCAGCAGTTTGCCGCTCAGCGTGAAGAGACAATCAAAGAGGCCCGAGAGAATATTGACGATTTCTACAACAACTATAATGCCAAGAAGGAGAAGGGTATTTCCCAGACCCGCAAGGACGCCGAGCTGTTCCTGGCCAGCCGTGAGGACACAGTCTCCGGTGGTACGAGCTGGGAGCGGATTGCGAAGCTGGTTGACGTTAGCGGAAAAGGCGCCAAGGGCGGCGCCTCTGGCTCTGGCAAAGAGCGCTTCCGTGAACTCCTGGTCAGCCTGAAGAAAGATGAGAAGGCACCGGGGGCCAGCGGCTACTAGGTGCAACGGATGAAGGTTTGAATGATGTTAGCGGCGACCGCCGCACGAGAGCGCCGGCTATCGCGCAAGCACCGATATTTTGGCGTTGTTGGCGGTGCTAGTGCGCATATGTATTCTAGATGACCTTTTCCGCCACAAAAGGCGCGAGAAAGGGTTGCCATTTGGTAATTCTGGCGGGCATAGTCAAGAAACTTCCATGATCGAGACGTTACCACTTTCCTCACCTCGCCAACACAGCAACGTATGCAACAAAAGAAACTCAGTGTAGTGCCAATTCGGTCTATTGATCACCCTAAGAATCATGCAGTCCGACCCCGAGTCTCTCCCTCTACCGAGCAGAATACGCCGCGAAACAGCTACTCCTTACCGAAGTAAGTGTTGTAGCCGAGAACCTTGCGGCCGGCGCCGTAGAAAGAGGCTATTTGATTGTAAGTACCCAGCTCAACGAAGCCTTGCTCATGGTCTGTAACGTACCACCGAGTGTTCCCCACAGAAGAATAACGTAAGGGGTCATGTAGAGACGGCTGCGAGGGTTCTGCGATAACTAAGTCAGCCCCTATCGGTCGATGGGTATACGGGTTGCATGGTATCGGGGCAATTCGACATACGATCTTCCAGAGACGGGTGTGCTCCTTGTAGGCCGTCTGATAGAACTTCTGGAGCTCTGGGACCTTGTTCTTCGCGTCGACGAGACTGTGCGGACGTTAGAAATACCCTCGTTCGATGATTGTTTCTAGCATCTAGACTGGAAGCCATTGGCGGTGAACCGCGCTCAGACATCCGCGACGGAATTACTCGTCTCGAAGGGAGTCACGTACCCCATTGTGATCGATCAATTGCGATATGCTCGGGGGTTGTGGTGGTTTGTAGCGTCGTAAGCTTCTCGAATGTCAACTTTGAAGGACGGACGGATCAATCAGGAAGATGGGATCTTGCCTTGGATTGGTGGGCCGACATGACCAAGTGACTAAGCAGGCCCGCTTTCCAGCCAACTGCCAGCGAATGGCACTGATCTTTGGTCTGAGGCCAAATTTCTTCTCATTTGACAGCTCTCACTTGCAGCTCCAGCCTCGCGATGCAGCCTACCCCCAAACCTGTGCCTTGGTAACGTATCGGCTGCTATGCTTGAAGCCTTGCGTTCATACAATTTTGCCTCGGTGGTTCTTTACGCGGGGCAATGCAACTGGCCTCGCAATGCCTCTGTCACTTGAATAGAGCACGCCTTGGCCGGCGGCAACCATATCAAGGACTCGATGCGATTCGACGAACGGCCTCAACCCTACCGAGGAACGCTTGTAAAAGCTTATACGAGTCTAGCACGGAAGTTGGCTGTTACAGCACCGAATCCCTCGAATCCAACATTTCGTCATCGAGCCCGAGGCCCTCTTCCCCACGTTTTGTCGTCGGTCCCAACTCATCGAGAAAGAGAAGATCAAGATTAGACACTGTTTCCACATTTTCGGACGACATAAAGCCACGGAAATGGCTTGCACCCAATTCAAAGCCGAACATGCAGGGTCTGAGGAAGCGGCCAAGATCTAGTCATGACAGACAAACTGTCTCCTCAAGAGCCGTTTGTTTTCCAAACGAGTTCAACCTTCGGCTGGTGGACATGCCCAAGAATCAGAACAACGCCTCCTTCTGGCTCAGTGTTCTTGAAGCAGCACAGCGAGAGCATGGACAGGGCGGCGTCTTGGCTGTTTGGAATGTCGTGCAGCATCGCAAAACATTATACGACGTGAGAAGCGAAGGAGTGGAGTCGTTTTGGAGAACCATCTTGGAAGCTATCCTCCCCAACGAGGACGAGCTTAAGGATGTGTTTCTCTACTCAGAATGGTTACTTCGTGCCCACGCTGTGCAGTGGCCGTCGTTATACTCGACAACAATATCATACTGTCTGCGCAACGGACAGTACCGCAGAGCGATGCAGTGGCATTTGCGCCTGATGCCGAACTTTGATCCTGGGCGAGAAGAATTCGGTGCCTTGCTGCAGGAGTTTGCCGTCATTCCTGAGGCCGATTTGCAACAGACGTTGCAAGCTATCTATGTCACATCCCTACACCGCAACCTATACGATGACCTTATACCCCTTCTTTATCGTAGCGGCCGTTCCCAACATTGCAACGAATGGCGCAGTCTATTTGTACGTCAACGCGACCTGCCTCGCCCAACTCCCGACTCACAGCCTTACCTAAGGTACCTCGCTCGATACTTCCCATCCGTCACTCTCGAACTGGAGGAACAGATGGTCTTGGGCCTGAACTCATCAGCCTATTGGAACGAACAGGATGACGCTCTCTGGGATGCTATGAAAGACGCGCAGGGCGATGAAGACGACGCCCCAGAGAGGCGACACAGCGACACATTGGGCGCAAGGTGGTTCGCAAGTTCTTGGATACCGCTCGACTTCGCAATCCATGCTGCTCATGCCCTGGGCGTGCGCCAAATCGGCCCTTTATCGTTGCAGTCGATTGCGTTGCGCGAATCCACGGCGCATGGACTCGTGGCCCGCATTGAGCAATTGCGAAAGGTCAACATTGGCATCGGATGTTCAGTGTATTCGCTGGTTCTCAAACGATTTGCCGAGAACGAGGATAACGAACTGCTGTATGAGCTGCTGCATACAGACATCCACCCAGACGTCTTCGATGATCCACTGATATTGGCGAGCATTCGTGACAAAGCCTTGAAAGAGGGGGCCTGGAAAACGCATCGGCTACTGCTTGCAGTTCAACCCGCCATGGTCGAAGAGTCGGTTACCTCGACGTCAAATATCTTACTGCAAGAATGTGTCAAGCGTGGCCAATGCAGACAGGCCTTGGCTTTGCTAGACGACATGAGGTCGATGAACATCGACGTGTCAACAGCAACAGTACGACACATTTGCTCGAGCATCCTTGACCTACTGCCATGGAATCCAAGGACCACTGCCACGAACTGGGATGCTTGGAACATGGCTATTGCTTGTCTTACGCGCCTGGTATTGCTCAAAAAGCCCGTTCATTCGCATTACTGGCAAAAGGTTATATTTGGCCTTGGCAAGTTTGGCCGCATTGGCGAGTTGGAGGACCTATGCCTTGGCATCATCGACACTTACGGGAAGCTCTGCGCTTCGGAGGGTGGTCTACTGCCCGTCCATTACCTGGATATGCCGCCTTCGGACCTAGATGGCCACTCCACCGACGTTCTTGTGCCGGCTGATTTGTCTATCACCCATGAACACCACCCGATGCGCCGGGTCTTCGATAATCGCGCTTTGCACACTGCAATTGTCCGCTGGGGGTTTAAGGCAGGCTTCTCGAAATGCAGCAGCAACTGGAGCATGGTTTCTATCAACTCAACAGCCACTTCAGAGTACTCCGTCGCTCGGGGTGTGCGGTTTCTGGCTATACTTAACGAGCGGGGTATCCCGTTCAGAGCCGCTGTCGTTCGAGAGGAGGTCATCAGGTGCCTGGCTAGGGCATATTTACTACAAGCTAAGAGAGCATCTCGTAACAAGGCTGGCCTGCCACCTCTTGCAGCCATACGCGAACTGTTCAACAAAGCAGCTGGACGGGATTTGCTTCCGACTGTTCCTAAGCTACAAGATATGATGGGAGAATATCAAGGAAAGGGCGCATGGCCACATGACAGGCCTTGAGCACAGTGTCACATCATCTATAACAACGCATATGCCGTAGGTGTTGATGCGTGGAATGATCCCAAGATCACTACCGGTGAATGTCGGGCCCCAAATTCGCTCATTATTCTAGTCAAATTCATACATTTAATGTTTACACTTCTCGTCTCTCATTTGAGGCGTCTTGCACAGATAGGCTGGGCGCCCCGCACTTCACGTACGGCCAGCCCACCTTACTCGTCGCCCCCGTGCTTGGGCTTGATCACCAGCAGAATGATCATTCCTGCGATGACGATAAGCAGGAGGAGGATAATCTTCCGCTTGGTCGTCTTTTTCTGGTAGCCCGCGGCGACAACGAGCTCCTTCTCGGCGCCCTTAACGTCAGTAGCCATACGCTCAACGTTATAGTCTATCCTATCCAACATAGTGCCCTGGTCGATGACCATGTTTTGCAGGTCGCGGAATATGTCGGCAAGTTCAATAATACCCTGCGCGATATCCTCGATCTCTCGCTCGCGCTGGATAATGGCCGCGTCGTTGGACTGCAGGAGCTTCTGCTGTGTCGCCTGAAGCGTCGACTGCGAGAAAGATCTGTCGGCGTCGGACTCGAGCATCGAGGGGTCCATGTAGGAACTCGAGGGTTGCGGCGTCGACCCCCTATCACCTGGTCCAACTCCACTGCCGCCGCCAAGGCCGCTCATCCCACGCAGCTCTGTCTTCTGTTAGCCTAACCTTCGGGTTCCGGAATGGCACTGAACACTTGCTTTTCAAATATGCACTCTGCTTTTTCCTAAAGAGCGCACTGGAGTCTTGTACCCTCGAGGCCAGTGATATCTGTATGTTCTTGGCCATGGTCTCCTCTGCACTGGTTATCGTCCCTGCATGCTGGGATTCCCTAACCATCTGCTCGACCCGCTGGATGCAGCGGTGACAGTCGTGGAAGCCCTTAGTGATCTGCTGGGTAAGGGTCTCGATCTCACGCTCCTCGGCCTTCTTCGTGTCCTCATCGTTGAAGCCGGGAAGCACATGCTTCTGGTGCAAGCGCTCAAGGGCTTGGCTCTTGGTGGCTATGTCGGTGAGCAGCTCAGTGATCTTGTCGGATATGTCGACCCATCGTGGGGGTAAGAGGTCCATCTCTATGACCGCATCGCCGTCGTCTTCGAAGGCGCCAGCCGACAGAAGGCCGCGCGTATCCTCGTTGCCGCTGGCATAACTGCTGTTTCCCGGGAAGGCATCGCCAAAGCTGTTCCCACCGGCGGCACCGCTGTACTTTGTCCGCTTCGTCGGATGGTGCGCGTACGACTGCCGATAGGAAATGTAGCTGTGCACAAATTGGTTAGCAGGAAAGTGGTTTTCGCAGGATGAAGGGCGAGAGAGTGCAGCAACGTACAGGTTCGTGCGGTCTCGCCACATGGCGGACGCCAGAGTCGGCTGCGATGGCGCTCCTCAGCCTGGGGTTCTTTGTCGCTCGCTGCGCGGGCTGCTCAGGTCCGTCGTCATGAACGAAAGGTGGCGAATACAGAACAGGACACCATTGACATGGGACTGCAGAGAAGCAGAAGCAGCAACGTGGGTATGGAGAACAACTTCGGGATGACCGTCCAAAAAGGTACGTCAGATACCGGATGGATTGGTTGGTGGGTGTCAAGCGCGGGCTGGTTTAGCTGTCCAAAAAGGCAAGGTTCAGTTCTAAGCCCCCGAATAGCATCTACTAGTATCGGCGAAGTAGGGTAATGAGGGAGGGAGTCGCAAACAGATGGGTTTTCGATTTGCAGTCGGTTTGTGAGCTAGTCGAGTGCAAGGGAGCAGCGACAATCACAGGCAGCTCTAGGATGACTGAATTCCTCGAGTCAAGGAAAAGTGCGCAGTAATGCAGTCGGGAGATGCGCCAACAGGGAGTGCATTAAAGCGTTGATGAATTGAACAGGTATCTCATGCCAGCAATCCTTGGGGACGGATTGCGTCAGGGCCTTTTCGTCTTGGACGGATTGAGCCGCGTGTGGACCGTTCCATACTGTCGAGGTGTGAGCTTGGGCCTGGAAAGACGGTAGAGCACCATACGTCCCACTGTGCAGAGGTGTACACAGGTGTCTGGCAACAGTGCAGAGGGCTCTCCCACGTGTTATGTCAGCATCTTGCGATGGAAGGTGCAGTGTACACGACCTTAGGTAGCCAGTAGCCAGGAGGACTATAAACTCTAGGGGATAGACTGATTTGGCAGGTCCGCGCTCCAAATCATCCTTTATTCAGCAGGAGGAAGGATCCGTCCCAACGTCGGGGCGGCCCCTGGTACGCTGAAAGGCGAAGGTGGGTTACTACACTTTCGTCGAGTACCTACGCTACCTACCTAAAGGCTGGCACTTGCTAGTCACTGGCTGGACGGTTGCTGTTCGCCGTGCTGCAATTCCCATCCGCATGCCAGCCCAGCCTGTCAGCTTCCAGGCCCGCGGCCCCCCTATCGTCCGACATTTCCCCCTCGCCTGCCCCATTCCTCCCCACGAGTTGCACACTAAAGAAAAGCTCGACCCCCAAAGACATCCAGGCGATCCAACTTAGCCAAGACGTACGAACAGAACACACCTGCGAATATACTCCGGCCTCAACCAACCTGTCTCAAATCATCGCAGACTCTTTCTGAACACAAGACAAACCAAAAACACCATCCCACTCTCTATCGCGGACACTCGTCATGGTCAGTTGTCCTTCCCCTGAGTTCTAGCCTTCTCATTCCGCTTTCATGCTGCCGTCAGGAGGTGACCCCGCGGCTGAGGGGTTGACTCTTAACTTTGGCAAGCTAAACTGACGCGGCTGCGGCCCAACTAGGCTGACTCCCTCACCGAAGAGCAAGTCTCCGAATTCAAGGAGGCCTTCTCCCTCTTTGTAAGTTGAATTGTTTCACTCGTCGCCTTTTCCTGAATACTCCCTTTGGCGACCGGCGTGGCCTTTTGCTAACCTACTGTAGGACAAGGACGGCGATGGTTAGTATCCTACCCCCTTTCCCCTCGTTCTCGACGCCGCACACCTGCTCTAGCAGAAGCCCCTGCGAACGCTCCGATAGGAATCCAACATCAATATGGCTTGGATGCGAGGAGATAAGATTATCGTTATGGAGGGCTAAAGAAGGTGGACAGGTCAAATTACGACCAAGGAGCTCGGTACCGTCATGCGCTCTCTGGGGCAAAATCCCTCCGAGTCGGAGCTTCAGGACATGATCAACGAGGTCGACGCCGACAACAATGGAACCATTGACTTCCCTGGTACGTCAAAAGTCCTGTTCCAACGTCCACAGGATACAGATTCGCTGACTTGTAGCTTATCCAGAATTCCTTACCATGATGGCTCGTAAGATGAAAGATACCGACTCTGAAGAGGAGATCCGGGAGGCCTTCAAGGTGAGGAGGGCTAGCGTAACTGTCGATGTGAATAGCACTGACTAGACATAGGTCTTCGACCGCGACAACAACGGCTTCATCTCCGCCGCTGAGCTGCGCCATGTCATGACTTCGATCGGCGAGAAGCTTACAGACGATGAGGTTGATGAGATGATCCGCGAGGCTGACCAGGACGGCGATGGACGCATTGACTGTAAGAACCCTGGCTCGCGGTTATGCCTTCTCTATTGCTCCTGGTGCTAATAGGTTACGTCAGACAACGAATTCGTCCAGCTCATGATGCAGAAGTAAGGCGTCAGGTTGGTAGAGCAGCTGTCGATCAACCCCACCTAGTTTTGGCCGCGCAGCATGATCTTCTATGTGAGGAAAGACGAGGGTAGGTTCTCACCGAGTCTGGGCTGGTTAGAGGATATACTTTTTGGGACCATCGGAGCTCCCACGCAAGGATATCCAGTGAAGGCATAAGTACGACAGCCGAATGGATGGAGGACTTGATGCCTACATCTCACTGCCAGGACACTTGCCTCTTCTATTCCCGATCCACCACAATGCTTTTTAACAAACACACAATCCCTCCCCCCTGCATCGACACAGAGACAAGATGTACTTGAACAAGACAGGAGTTATACTTAGAAGGGCGATGCTGTCTCCAGGGCGACGAATGCCAAAATCCAATCAGCACTCATTGCGACTAATTTTCATGTTGTGAAGGTATTATCTGTGGTTTGTTACTTGTCATAGTGGGAATGTTTGTGGATGAGAGTTATATTGCTGTGGCCTATCACAAGCAGGTACGGGAAGGCATCATGCACAAGCATTTACGTTGGCCACGCCTGAGTTGTCCACTATTGTTAGGTTGGAGAGGCAAAAGAAGAGCTTTAGTACAGGCCCTTCTGTTGGTGAAAGACAAGCTTAGCTTGTTGTTTGTTATTCATATAGACCTGAGGCTTCTTATCAGGAGCTGCAGATAGTGGTTAAAGTGTATTGTGGTAACCTAACACACAGTGAAAGAGCGCACAGAACACTGCAGCTTACCTAAGAGATTCCTGATGTGTTGAATGAGCCCCTAAAGTCTCCCCCTCCTGACCTATAGAGTCTCAGGGACAACCGCAATAGTTTACGCCTGAGATTTTGGGCTGCAGCCTACTTCGACCCCACCGACGTGACGGCGCTGTAACCTACCACCTGCCAGCTGGACGTGGACCTTTGACCAGCTAGCATAGCCAGCCTGGACTGGACATCCCTGGCCCGTCTATCTGGTCTATTCGTCGACCATTGGGGGAAGTCTGCCGCAACACGACCCTCGACCATCTTCGACATTCGGCGACTTGCAACTTCGAGCGCTCCTGACGAGTCTGCGACCTCCGTGTGAATCTCCAATTTAGGTTCCAGCAGCCTGTTCAAGGCCCTACGCGGGCCGCCTCTGTTGCCCAATATGAGTTCCTGTGCGAGAGAGCCCCTGCCCCTCTCTGTGCTATGTCGCTGGCCTGGAGCTAACCAGGTGACACTCTAGTGAAGCAATTCATTCGCAACGTTCGTGCCGCCAAGACCATCGCCGACGAGCGTGCCGTCATCCAGAAGGAGAGCGCATCCATCCGAGCAAGCTTCAGAGAAGAGAGTGGAGATCACAGCGTGAGGTGCGCAGATGAATTGAGATTTAGGAGCACCCTTTGCAGACACAATGGCTGATGGTTAACCCAACAGACGGAACAATGTCGCCAAGCTCCTTTACCTTTTCACCCTAGGCGAGAGAACACATTTTGGTCAGATCGAGTGTTTGAAGCTGCTGGCCTCGCCCAGGTTTGCCGACAAACGCCTGGGGCATCTGGCCACGAGTTTGTTGCTGGACGAGAACCAGGAAGTTCTAACGCTCGTGACAAACTCCCTTCAAAAGTAAGAGACGGCAACAAGTTCTATCTTGCGCCGGCAACGCTAACATACGGTAGCGACCTCGCCCACTCGAACCAGTATGTCGTCGGCTTGGCCCTCTGCACCCTTGGTAACATTGCCTCCATCGAAATGTCTCGAGATCTGTTTCAGCAAGTCGAGTCCTGCATCAACACGTCAAACCCCTATATCCGGAGAAAGGCAGCACTTTGCGCCATGCGGATATGCCGCAAGGTCCCGGATCTGCAGGAACACTTTGTGGACAAAGTCAGCAACCTCCTGGCCGATCGTAACCACGGGGTTCAATTGTGCGGCCTCACGTTAGCCACAAGCTTGTGTGAAGCCGACGAGGAAGAAGGCGGGGAGGAAGGTGTTGTTGAGAAGTTCAAGATATTTGTGCCGAATCTGGTCAAGACTCTGAAAGCGCTCGCGACCTCTGGTTATACCCCTGAACACGACGTCACAGGCATCAGCGATCCTTTTGTGCAAGTCAAGATCCTCCGCCTGCTGAGGGTCTTGGCGGTTGGCGACGCGCGGGTCAGCGAGCAGATCAACGACATTTTGGCACAGGTCGCGACGAACACAGACTCGTCCAAGAACGTCGGAAATTCGATTCTGTATGAGGCCGTGCTTACGATTCTCGACATCGAGGCGGATTCCGGTCTCCGCGTGCTCGGTGTCAACATTCTGGGCAAGTTCCTATCCAACCGGGACAACAACATCCGCTACGTCGCTCTCAATACACTCATCAAGGTGGTCGCCATCGAGCCAAATGCTGTTCAGAGACATCGCAACACGATCTTGGAGTGCCTGAGAGATCCGGATATCAGCATCAGGAGACGTGCGCTTGAACTCAGTTTTACACTCATCAACGAGAGCAACGTGCGGGTTCTCATCCGGGAACTGCTCGCGTTTCTGGAAGTGGCCGACAACGAGTTCAAGCCGACAATGACTAGTCAAATTGGTATTGCCGCAGACAAGTTTGCACCGAACAAGCGTTGGCATGTCGACACTATGCTCCGGGTTCTCACACTCGCTGGGAATTACGTCAAGGAGCCTATCATGTCTTCTTTCATTCGACTAGTCGCCACTACTCCTGAACTGCAGACATATGCTGTTCAGAAGCTTTACATTAGTTTAAAGAAGGATATCACGCAAGAGAGTCTTACACAAGCCGGAGCCTGGTGCATCGGCGAGTATGGAGACGCTTTGCTGAGAGGCGGTCAGTACGAAGAAGAGGAACTCGTACGGGAGATCAAGGAGCACGAGCTCATTGACCTGTTCACGACTATCCTCAACAGCAACCACGCAACTCAGGTTTCCACCGAGTATATTGTCACGGCGCTTGTCAAGTTGACGACGAGACTGGCGGATCCTGCGCAAATTGACCGGATCCGTCAACTTCTAAAGGTTCACCAGACGAGTTTGGACGTCGAGGTTCAGCAAAGAGCCGTCGAGTACAGCAATTTATTTTCTTATGACCAGATTCGCGCAGGTGTTCTCGAAAAGATGCCGCCTCCTCAAATCAAGGAGGAATCCCGTGTATTGGGTGCAGCGACTACGACCAAGAAGGCCAAGGCTGCGAACAGGAAGTCCAGGGTTATCAAACCCACTGAGCAGGACCTGCTTTTCGATCTTATGGACACTCCGCCGACGATAACACCGGCTACCAGCGGAGCCTCCAACACCGATCTTTTGGCGGATATTCTTGGCGGCACCTCCTCGCCGCCCCCTACCTCAGCCTCTCCTGCACCTCAACAGTCCAATACCGCTTCGATCATGGACCTTTTCTCTCAGGATTCTGCCCAGTCAGTGGCCTCTCCGGTTTCGGGCGTGGGTGGTTCGAACTTGGATTTGATGTCTTCCATGTCCGCCGTAGCAAGTCCTCCACCCCAAACGCAGCCTGCTCCGCAGGTCCCAGCAGGTCTCCCTGTCTACGACAACAACGGCTTGAGTCTCGGATTCCAGATTCAACGCAACGCTGAGGGTCTGGTCCAGGTCATTGGTCGATTCAAGAACGCCGGGTCTGGGCCCCTTTCGAATGTAGGGATGCAGGCCGCTGTGCCCAAGACGCAGAAGCTCCAGCTCATGGCCATTTCAAGCACGGATGTTGGACCTGGCGCCGAAGCTACCCAGAGAATGATTGTTTCTGGGGCCAAGGGAGTGAGTCAATGTCCAACCCTCTAATCGAGCATGAGCCGATAGCTAACATGAGTACAGCCGCTGCGGTTACGCTTGAGGATCGGATACACTCATCCGGCTGCTGGTGAAGTCATGGACCAAGTTAACTGGACCGAGCCATCTTAGGATGGCAGAAGACTAGTGAGGATAGCCCGCATGGGCATAAAATGTGCTTGTATAGTTAATGCGACAGGCAGGCGTGGTCAAAATAGACAAATCTGCAAGAATGAAATTTTGGGTGCATTAAGCGAGGAACCGTAGTTGAGGATCCGACCGTATGTTATGCAATTTACTTGAAATGAGGCTGCATCATCGCCATGCACAAGCTTGTGCAAGATGACATTGTGGCTTTGATGCATCCATCTCCACTCAGTTGATGCGGGACACTATATGCTCGTCTCCAATATTTCCCACTTTGGGTTTTGCACATCATCCGTCACCCTACACCCATCTAAGGACTGGATATCTCTTCATCAGATACATACCGAATGTATATTACGATGTAGAACAATCTTTCTAGTCAACTCCCCGATTGCCGTTTCTTGTCAGGTCCGCGGGTTCTGCTCGCTGCTGGTGAACATGAAACCCACGTCAAGTAAAGATTCACATATCGAGCGCACAGCCGCCGAGCCAAGAGATCCTGTGTGCAAAACAATCGTGTTCAAATTCCAATAAACACAGCTGACATCTCAAATAGTCATTACATACCGTTGTGTTGAACCGGGTTGAGGAAGTAAACGAGAGCATTCGACTATTCCGCCTTGGAATGTTTGAAGGATCGAGTATCAAGGTAAGCTCATCTCTACTTCATCGGCATCCGACGTGAAATGTCCAGTTCAGTTCCGCTCTATCAATTACAAATTCAACGGTGTGTTGAATGTACAAACGGCTCACCTGAGTAGTTTCTCCCGGGTCAATGGCTTGACACCTTCGTCCCAGGCGTCCTGAACCCAGGCGGCTTCACCATCACCAGCCAGCCTTCCATGGCCATGCTCCCATCCTCAGCGTACCTTGAGCTCGCAGTGCAATATTCGCCGTCAAATCCATCCGCCATTTGGCTTTGGGGCAATCCCGTCGACGGCAACGATGCCAGCCACAGCCACAACTCCGAGAATGAACCGGTGCAGCTCCGTGTACGAGTTGGCGGATCCTTTGTGTGGCCACCACAAAGTATTGACCTTACCACTCTACGGCGGATGGTTTTCGTTGCAGGTGGCGTGGGTATCAACCCGCTGATGAGCATTCTCAGCCATCTTGCCGAGACAGGTGGAAGCCGGTATAACGTGCAGTTTTTATACTCGACAAAGACGCCGGCTGAGGGTCTGAAGCCGGAAAAGATCCTGTTTTTGGAACGGTTGGCAACTATCTACGGGCGGAAAAAGGTTCGAGGTCAGCTGAAACTATTCCTCACCCACATACGGGGGACATCTGGGCCCAGCGAAACAGTACTGCCATGCGATGAGGTAGAAGTTCCTTTTCAGAGGCGCCGTATGACGCTAGAAGATATCGCAGAGGCATTGGGACCGAAAGAGGAGCACAAATCGGCAGTGGTGTATGTTTGCGGTGTGCCGACCATGACGGACGAGTTCGTAGGAAAGATCACATCCCCACATGGGTTGGGTCTGGGGCGCGAGCAAGTCCTTTACGAGAAGTGGTGGTGAACCATTGTAAGGAAACGCCATGGCTGCGAATACGACATCGACACGTGTAAGGTTAGGCAATGACACCCCTTGAGGATGGGGGTTTGACCAAGGCATGTGTGTAAGACAATATCGAACCGAAAATGGTTCTCATACGTATACTCTGAACATGAGCTTCCACAAGAACTCAGGAGCCGTCCCTACCAAAGCACGATAGCCGTAGAGTCTAACACAGTTTTACCGACATATTGTTGATCATAGCGCACCAGTTCTTGGGTCCGGCAGAGATTTTGATAATAGGCACACATAAACATCACGAGAATGAATAGCAAAGGCGTAAAGGTCTGCCTGGGACCGGAGAAGCCTGGTCCGTTAGTAATTATCCTTAGCAAATACATGTTCATCGTCCCCGATTCTCGTGAATAGCCCTCTCATATTAAATCCAGGGTATTAGGGCTCTCCAATGCATATCTTCGTAGTTGCTTGCCCGTCATTTGGCCACCTCTCTCGTTGAGATTCAAACTACCCTGCTTCCGACGTAGCGGTGACGGACTACGCCTAAGCCATTCTCCTTCTGATACGTTCCTGTTTTCATAGTTGAATGCCGCCATCTCTGCTGTCGCGATATAATCGTATCTTCCGACGCGTTTGAGTATATCCATACCGCCAGTGGAGGGGGGTGACATGTCGTAGTCAGACGATGGCGAGTGTGCTTGAGATGGCGAGGGCAAGGGGCGCGAAGAGGTCTTGCCAAGCTCCCGAGAAGGTGACGGCAGGATGATTTTCCTAGCAACTCCAATTTCAAATGCATCACTTCCGCTCGGCTCATCTACGTATGGTAATAATGAAGAGGTGACAGAGGGAGTTCGCATCGATTCCAGGGAAGTTTTCCGCAGTGAAGTTTCGGTGCTCGGCAGCAGAGGTACAGGTCGTAGAGGTTCCGAAGCTTGCCAAGTGTTGTGCATCAGTTTGCTACGCTGTGGTATACTGGCACGGGCAGAAGGAGGTGGAGTAAGCCTGGGCGGAGTTGCGAAGAAGAATGATCTCTGGGCCAACTGAACACGCTGGTTTCCCATGTTCTCGCCGCGGGTCATATTGCACTCCTGAAAACCCGACCCGTCAAGCGAGTCAAAGCTGAACAGCCTATTATTGGCTTGAAGGTCCTTGGCGCCGTTGGGTCGAGCTGGCAGATGTTCACCCCCCCTGTTTGAAATTGCCACGAGTGCCTCACAATAAGATTCCGATACGAGATTCAAGGTCTTGAGGTTTGTCCAAGTGCGGTAAAAGAAGCGGAATGTGGCGAACGGCGAGTCGACGGAGTCTACGAGGACCCAGTCGTAAAACGTAAGCTCATGGGGTGACTCAACGAGGCCACCAGTGGGAGATCTAAATGTGTCGTTTAACAGTAAGCCTGGAGTATGAAACACGTTGAGCGGCAACTTACGTGATGCCATACATATCTTGTTTGCGGAAGCTTTTGAGTTCAGGGGCTCTTCTTCTCCTGCCTTTGGACCGGAAGACTCGTAGTTCAATTAGGCCGCCGTCTAGAGCGGCGGAGGCCTCGAAGCGTGGCGTGAAGTGGAAGAACCGTTTCTCGACGCCGTCACGCTTGTAGACAACCCCACCGTCCCGATACTGCCATTTACTGTCTGGCTCGTAAAGGGCGTGACTGACGAGCTGATTTTGAATGACTTGAGATTTAATACCCCAGGACACTATTTGGCGTCCGTTAATTGTCATTCGAAAGTACAGGTACTTGGCCTTGGGAGGAGATCTGTTGATGGAGTATCGAAGGTGAAATTGGGCGCCTGTGTATTGAACACTCAGTTTTTGCCAGCACGGGTTGTAAGCTAGAGTGAGGGCAAAAAAGGTTTACGGACCTGGGGATGATGGGATGTAGACCGAAGTGGTTGGATTGCATTTCTCGGGTGTTGAGATAAAACTGGAGGGTGGGGGCGACGTCGGACTGACTGGATGAGGACACCGTAGATGAATAGAAGAAGATTCGGGATGAGGCAGTTCAACGAAACATTCGGCATCATGGCGAGGCACCACCGAGACATCCATACCTCTGAAGTTGGGCATCCTCGCCCTCTTGTGGCTGCGTCGCGTGATACTGAAGTCGAAGTTGGCGTTGATGGAGAGAGACTATGTGGGAAATGGTTGTGCTGATGGGTGAGGTTGATGCAGGATCGTTAACTGTGAGGTGGCTGCGGAAGGTATAAGTAGTCAAGAGGGAAAATGGGATGGCCTACTTGGCTTCACTAAGAACGGGCAGTAGCAGGAAGGTCAGCTGGACCACGCTTTCCCGCGAAAGTGCCTTCCTTCTGTAAGAACCGCGGGAACGACGCGGCATGCCAGCGCTTTGTTTAAAACCAGTGCTCAAATCTCACATTCCCTCACAAGGTCAAAATTACCCCATCAGGAGGAATCGAGACGACGTATGTTACGACGCTCGGTCTTCAACCTCGCCATTTCAGCCCTGAGTAAGCACCAAACATCCATGGAAAAAGCATTCGCCAGAATGGCCAGCATTCGCAGGGCCGTACCACCACTACCACCTACTACGAGTTATATCAACCTAATACCAGCATCTCCACAGCAAATATCAGTTCCAGCGCATGAGAAAGAAATTGACCATTGGCCATTCGCTTCTGGTAACAGCTTCCTATCTGGCCCGCGCCATGTACATGTATATCGACCCCGTCATAAGCTCGCTTTCATCTTATTCAACTCGACCCCATCACGGCCTTCGTGTCATCCTCCTTGCCGAGAAGTCCCAGGTTGCGTATTTGGCCGGCACTCGGCGCGTTATCTCGTGCGCTGGCCGATTCGGCCTTTCGGTAAGCGGCCTGAAGTGCCCTTGTTCTCGCAGCCTGCAGGCAAGTTGGTGAGCTACCATTCTTTCGCCTCGTTGCCCATCGTCCTCGGGGTTCGATTGATTCAACAAACCTCCTTCTTGTGGTGCAAGCACTCGTAGTAATCCTCCAGAGCCAAGCCACACTTCTTCTTTCCCGAGTGGTCCTCTCCAGCGGTGTTGACAACATAGCAGCCAAGGACCTCTTGCCAGAAGGGGAAGCACCGCGACGGGCCTACCCGGCGTCAGCGGGTTAATGCAGTATCAATGGCAACGCAATTGTCAACATACCTCCGTGAAGACCGTATCCAGAGGCCATTGTGAATGTGCAGGCGTCGAGTGGTGGATGGGTGAAGCTCAGAGGTCGTCGTTAAGGGTCGTTGAGACAGACGCAATCGCGAAGTCCAAAGCCTAGGAAAGTTGTAGGTGGTTGTGACCAACGGAAGAGCCCGCGGCTATCAAGAAACCTCGTCCTATCAGGAGGTACTTAATTTTAATAGTGATTACTGCTGTGACGATGGGTTCTCGCTGCTAGCGCGCGCCTAAGCCTCCCCAGAACCCATGTAGCCCCACATAATTATGACGAAGCTAAGGTGCCTTGCCTGGTATTACCTACCTAGTTACCTGTCGCATACACGCATTTTGGGGACTTGGAGCTTGGTGCCTGCTGAGAAACTAGCGAAACTCGCGATACTACACTTGACCAACTCACTACTCCACGGTCAGCGAACAAAAAAGAGAAAGAAAAAGAAAACTCTACACAGGGTTACAAACCCGATATGTCTCCGAACCACACGAAATGAGCCTTATCATATCTCCGCCAAAGCTGGTGCTTTTGGCCGTTCACCTAGCCATCCATGCCGACCTGGACAGCTTGGCCTCTCTCTCCTCGCGACACGCCACGGTCTTGCGTAAAGATCTCGTACTACGCATACTCTTGACGTACCTCCCCGAGACGGTTCCATCTAGCGACTATGTGTCCTTCCTAGAAGAACTCGCGAATGGCGAGTTCGCTGACCGTGAAGCCGGCAACATCGACTATGCCGTCGCAGAGAACATTTCAGACGAGGATGCTGCAAAGAAGGCTCGCAAGCTCCACTTGTTGCCTCTGGCATGGAAGGATGCGCCGATTGAGATAGGCGACGATCCGATGTCTCTATTCCTGCTCAAGCGTGCACATCGTGTCGACGAAGAAGCTGGACTGCTCACCCAACTGCCCGAGCTGCTCGGCCCTTTTCTACAATATGCTCCTGGGATCCGCACTTGGATGGTCTCAACTCTACTGCCACTGTTGCGGAGAAACTGCGAGTACTACCCGGCAAACAGCATGCCATACACCTTGGCCGAGTTCCAGAGTCTCTCTGATGGCGCTGCCGTCGGTGCTCTTCTTTCCCAGACAGGTGTACGGCAGGAGGACCATGTATTTATCGGGAGAGATCTGAGAGGAATGCTCGTTCCTTGGCTGCATGACGATTCCCGGTGGAAACGGGTTGAGGAAGGTGATTCTTCCGGGGGGACTGTGTCCAGTCCGGGATGGGAGCGTTTCCTTGAATGGCTATTGGCGCAAAGCTCCAATTCCTGGCGAGTTGCTGTTGCCGCCGTCGAGCAATGGGGAGGTGCCGTTGATGTTGACCTCGGAGATTATGATGTCGTTTGGATCAGTGAGGAACAGCAGCAATACCTGGACCGGCGATATGCTCGTGCCATTATGGCCGGTGCATATTTGGTTCCTGAGGCCACAATCGAAGCGCTTGAAGGTGCTCACCAGATGCTGAGAAAGGTCATGGACCTGTTGGGCCAGGATGATACGCTTTCCTTACGTGAAGGAGCGGATACGGATGCTCTACCCCCTGTCGCTTACTTGGAGGGAGGGAGTGTTCTATCTCACAAGAACACGGCATTCATGCGAGAAGATTTGCTCAAGCAATCAAACCCTCTCACAACTCCTTCAAAGAGGTCGACCCATCTACTCCATGCGTTAATCCTAAGCGCGTTCATCCTGACTAGGGCAGGACTGCCCTGCACGATCAAGATGGCCGGCGATCTGGCGTTCATCCAGGACGAACGAGACCAGAAAGCTGAAGTTGTCAAGCTGGTTCACGCTATCGCTGAACGGGCTCCAAAGAACGGCGATAATTTCTGGGCCAAGGCACGAAACGAGATTCTTTGGCTCCGGAATTGGGGCATTGCCTCCCCACCGAATGGTCAAGTGATGGGTGTGTTTGCTAAGGTTGAGCCGGGGGTAATTGAAACCGAGATATTGAAGGCACTCCTGTCTAGTGCCCGTAAGTTGCCAGTTACCAAAATCCCACCGTCACTATTGCTGATGGTGCACAGGGTATTCGCTCGCAAAATCGTTCTACGAGGATGCTGTCGTGAAGCCGCTGCCGGCACAAACCGTTCAAGAAACTGTCATTGCCGCTGCTCTCAACGCCTACGACAACGCGTCCAATCCGAATCGCACCAGGGGGGGGCTCAAGAAGTGCGATGAAATGTATGTCTCCACTCACATCAGTGTCTGTTGACTAAACTGACCAGTGTAGTATCAACACCTTCCCTGGAACTATTACCAGCTCTCTTCCCGAACGGCGCCGCATTGACTCCCTTCTCAAAGCAACACACGCCTTGAGCAACTACCGACTAGTTTTGAGGCAAGGCGAGCCCTTTAGTCCAGTAGTTCTGCGTGTCCACTCAGATCCTGTCTCCATCATCGGCAAGGTTCTAGAGCAGAACCCCAAGAGTTACACACGCATCCATGACCTCTTGGATGTAGGTTCCGACATGGTTCGCGCTGGGCTTGTTGACCGAAGCAAAAGGGGGATTGCCGTCCAGGTCGTAGAAGACGAGGAGGCCTGCGTAGACACCAGCACGAGGCGCATCACGGCCATGTGCATCGAGGCGGCTCTAAAGGAGGACGACTTCGAGACGGCGTTTTCATATGTCGTCAACCGACTCAGCAGTCAAGTCAACCATTCAAAGACAGCTTCTCGGGTCAAAATAGACGATGACTGGTCATGGAGGGCCGCGCTGCAGGCGGGACAGTACATGAGAACTGTACGAACTGTTCGCCCGACACATCTGGGAAACGCCAGCGGGAACCCTGATATCCGGCACCTGGAACAGCGCATCGACTGCCTCGCCACGGCCCTGCGCATTGCTCCGCCGTCGCAATTACAGGAGATACTGAAGACGTTCCGGCGCTGCGAGGAACAGCTCGACTCAGCACTCAAGGAAGAGGCCGCTCGGGAAGCTGACCTCGACGCCGTCGCTGCCAACCTTCACTCCAGCATGCCCGGTGGCTTCGAGGGGGCCCCAACGGCAGCCCGACTTCACGTGCCATCGGGTCCCCCACAGCCCCGTTTGTCAGCAGGTACGAGCAAGCTCAACGACGACGCGCCGATGTCGCTGTTTGACTTGTCACGCGCCACGGCTCGTGCGGCCTCGCGTAACTTTGCGGCTCTTTCCACGCTGCAGCAGTCTGCCGGTGGTAAGGCTCCGGTCCCCGCTCCCGCTTCGTCGGCATCGGTGGCTAGTAGCGATGAGGATCCTCATGATGACCAACCCAGAACGAGGAAGCGTGACCAGCTTCGTGAGGCTGCAATGGGAACATTGACGTCAGGAGTGGGCTGGCTCATTGGCGCGCCTGCGCCCAATCCACAGCAAGCGCCAAGGACTGATTAAAGGCGTGGGGAGAGGGTACGTATTAACCACAGAACATGAGCAAATTAATGGAAAATGAATGAACGCCTTGCCTTGCAAGCATAAGGGGTATCCAACGTGGCACGATTGACCAGTATCATGATAAATGCGAAGATATTGGATTCACAAACTTAAGTTCTTACGCGGAATATAGTTACGTGCTTTTGGTGTCAAACCTACTGGGGCTTTTTATTTTATTTCATACTTTTATTATTTACCTTATTGAGTTCGGAACAATAGGGGTTGTGCTGCAGCAATTTGACAGCTCGATAGGACATCAAAGCCCCGGTTGGCTTGGCTAAACAATCCATCCGGGCTGTTTAACGTCGGCCTGCAATATGCCCACTTGAACAGGACGGACTGAAAGCAAAACCCCTCAAATCATCATTTTGATCTTTGTAGGATCGATGCCAATGGTAGGTAGATCGAAGGTTCATGCCTCGATGTACTGTGACAAACCCTCGCAAAAGTGAAATGCTGGACCACATCGCATTTGGGCGATATCTTTGAGGTGGAAGGGACAGCCCTGTCATGACAATATCAGATGAGCCGCTTCCACAAACGTAAAGCCCCTTATCGGGGCTGAGACAACCAGGGCGATATCGAACGAGTGGCAGGGGACAGAAACATGTCTGCCAGAATCAACGGGGCTCCGTAAGAGTTTGTCTTCAACATTGTCAATTGAGGGCGATTCAAATAGTAGCAAAAGATGCCAAGCACAACTGGTATCTGCTTTCCCCAGTCGGTAATGACCCGTTTTACTGCTCATTGCTAAATCATCAGTCTTGCTCATAACCGCTGGGGGGAATACCTTTTGTCTTTTCTTCTTCGTTGTTTATTACACGAGCCTACCGTCTCGGAAGATGCGATACAAGGACCATCTATTAGTTTATCTTGCGTCGCTGACCTGTGCAAAGGCGGCAACAAGATGAAGAGCAATGGGCGTGGATGGCGAGAAGGCGTTTCATTTACGACGGAAAGGTTGAAACTTGGCGTTCAGGCGGCACAGTTACGGTTTAGTTGTATTTATGGACGCGGTTGTCATTCATGTTGCATTGCTGATCAACATTTTATCATGCTGAGATTTGCGAAAGAGCCATGCCGAATTTGCGAAGCCGTCTCAAACTCGGCTGGACCCGAAGCGGGACGCGATAGATAATGGTACAAGGTGAAATTGGTTTGCGTGGGGGAAACAATCGTGGACCACCGCCGGCCCACGGAATGGTGTAGTAACGAAAGTGCTGATCCACGAGGGAAAGTGACTGTCACTCCGGCCAAAGCCTGTCGACGCCTGCTGTTTTGCCGTGTTGATTGTTTGCCAAAGCTACCATAAAGACCGCCAGACATTCGTCGAACTGCAGAAGACCGGGCTCATAGACAGTTGCCAGCTGAAAACAGCTGATTGTTGCCTACAGCCGTCGTCAAAGAAAGGCCGGGGCCAAAAAGCCGTGGACCACGCAGGCTAAAAAACCCCATTTTTTGTTCCATTCCAGACTAGTTGTAGTGCACAAGGACTCCATGAGACGCAATTTTTGGGATATCCGCCGTAATCGATCGCACTAAGAAAGATGAAAGGGGTGAACCGTCAGTCGCCATTACCAGGCGCATCAACAGCGTATAAATCAGCGAGAGCCTAGGCAAGTCAGCATTAGCGACAGACTGGGGGGGAAGGACATTAGGAGTTCCAACCTCCGTAGGCCTCGCGGCCCTCAGAGCGGGCAGGAGGGTCAGCGTAGGCTGCGCCACTAGCAGGAGCGTCGCGGGAGCGAGGCCCATCACGGCCGCCACTGCCACTGTATGTGTCGTCCCCGCCACGCTCACGTCTCTCGTAGCCGGCAGCACCGCCGCCGCGACGGTCATCACCACCGCGAGCATAGCGGTCGCCACGGTCGTCACGTCCGCCGCCGTAACGGTCGACACGACCACCACTGCTGTAGGTGTCATCGCCTCCGCGCTCGCGTCTCTCGTAACCGCCAGCGCTGCCGCCGCCGCGATCTTCACGGTAGCTGCGATCATAGCCACGATCCTCGCGGTAACCGCGCTCGTAGCCGCCGCCACGGTCTTCGTAGCCGCCACGGCGGTCGTAGCCACGGTAGCGGTAGGGGTCATCACGACCGCCGCCGTAGCCACCGCCTCCGTAGCCACCGCCGCCGCCGCCGTAGCCACCTCTGCGACGATCATCATAACGGTCGTTGAATCGGCCACCACTGCTGCCACCACGTCCCTCTGTTCATTGACGCGTGAGTGATATTTTTCCAATAAGAGTTTTTAGGGGATGCTTACCACGCTTAGGAGGACCGAAGTACTTGCCGGGAGTGGGAGTTCGAGGACGAGCACGGCGAGCCTTCTCGATGCTCAGGGTGCGACCCTCGATCTGCTCTCCCTGGAGACCCTCCTTGGCGGCATCGGCCTGGTCGGACGTGACCATCTTGACAAAGCCAAAACCACGGGACTCCTTGGTGTGAGGATCGCGCATGATTTGGCACTTCTCGACGTCACCATACTTCTCGAACATGCGAGTGACCTCCTGCTCGGTCAGACGAGGATGGATACCAGTGACGAAGAGGTTGGAGCCAGGGTTGATGGCGCCGTCGTCATCGCCACCCCTGGAGCCGGTCTCATCCTTGGTGCCACTAAAATTGGAACGAGAACGCGTCAGCGATTGAAGAGGAAAACAAATTGGGTAGATATTTCAGAGGATGGAGGTTTGCCTACCGGTCGCGGTCGCGGTCGCCGTTGCCAGAAGGGGAGGCAGAGCGACGGCGGCCCGAGTCGCCGTCATCACGCGCAGGGCGAGGAGAGGCGCTGCGGTTGTCGCGCTCATAACGAGGAGCCTCGTCTGTATCGCGTATATCTGTCAGTGCCTCGTCGTGCTGAGAGCGGCGATCCGTATCGAGAAAAAACGAACCATCGTAGCGGTCGCCGTTGGCGGCCTCGTAATCCATAGAAGTGGTAGCCATGATGATGGGATTGATTGAGGTGGCAAGTGGTGTATTTTGTCGTTGGGGGTTTTTTGAGGGGCGTTGATACTTTGTAGAATTGGCCAACGACGCGAATTGCCGGTGACGCAGGCTCTTCTGCTACGGGGATTGGTCAGAAGGGAGGACGGAAAGCGGATCGGGGGCTTTTTGATGGAAAATAAGAAAAAGGGTCTGTAGAAGAGAGAAAGAGATGAGAGAGGCAAGTGCAAGAAATGTTATTACAATCGTCAGCAATCAATTAGATGACGAAGGGCATCAATTGAGAAGTGGCGTGGCTTGGAGATGCCAGGTGTGGGAGTGAAAGGGAGAGTGAGGAAGGTGAAGAAAAGGCGAGGTGAAGGAAGGGATGTTGGTGAGTCGGGGGGGGAGGGCGAGGAAGGGGAGAAAGAAGGCGATCTGCCTTGCGCGTGTCTCTGTTGGTGCTGCAGGAGAGGAGGTGTGGTATGGGAGGTGTTGCGGGAGTGCTTTCAGAGGTACTGCAGGCCTGGTGGCCCTGCTGACGTGACGGGTGAGGCAAGGTATGGAGCAGGGTAGGCACAAGTAGGGGGAAGGAGACAGGGCACCTGAATGGCCAGCCTGGCGCAAATGCAGGCAGATAGATACCTACGTTGCCTGGGTTGATAGAGTACAGTGCAAGGCGAACAAACAGGTGACTGGATGTAGGCAGCAGAGGGCGTTGGTGCTGTGTGGCTGGCTTGTTGGTCGAGCGAAACAGGGCAGCGAACGAGGCGGGAGGGAAAAAGTGAAGGGAAAAAAAAAAAGTGATGGGTAAATCGATGGAATGATTGCCCTGGGGGAGGGAGGGGGGTTCCGGTGAATGGACTGGACTACGACAAGGGGGGCATGAGCAAAGGCCAAGGCTAAAAGGCAGAAAAGGGAAAGATGCAGTTGTCCGTGAATGAGCTTGGCGTTCCTGTCTTCTCCCTGTCCACCACTGACCAATGAGGTGCTCTCTCCATTACCTTGCTAAGTGACAACTGAATCCACATCCAAATCCAAGTCGTCACTGTGATAGGGACCTTGGTACCTGAGGTTTAGGTCTATTTCTTTCCGGTTGCTACGGTGCATGCAAGATGATCTATCCCGCTTGCCAGGTTTCTTTGAAAACTTTGATTAGGAAGGGTTTGGTTGTATCTTATGCCATTGAAGGCATCAAGTGTGCTTCAGGTGGGCTATTTCGTAGGCAATTGCAATTTCAATTAGCTGCTTCAATTGGAATACTGCCCTCTTCAAAGCACACTTGTCACATTCATTCGAGGCATCCCCTGCTGATTTGACAACATTTCGATCTTTAGCGTACACATAAAGTGAGTCCAGAACGATGGCTCGCGACTCCCCACAGCGATTGATATCTGCACAGACCACCATCTGACAGATCTCGAACTGAGATGCATACCAGCAATTATATTCTTCGGTCGGACTCGAAGTGTTTCATCAGAACACGCTTGCAAACGACGACCAACAAAGCTGTTTCAATCGACAGCTTACAGACCACCTAAGTATATTAGAGCCACGCTTTAACCATACCAGCCTAAATGCCAGCCGAACTGCCACGTAAGGTGCGGCCAATCAAAGCTCGGCCTGTCAGTTTTTACGGAACCAAAACTGCTTGTATATTAGTGCCTTGTTTTCACCACCGGACTGGGCTCGCATGCCACAGCAGCCGCAGATTCCTAGTCAAAGGGCAGTTGACCTTGCCATGTCCAAACTGGAACTATAATCCCCTATAGGTCATCCATTATCGGTTGCATCGACTCCGGAGAACTCGCGACAAAAAGCTCATCCTCGAGGGCCTTGCGAACATCCACATCTGCAAACGATCCCGGCTCGTCCAAAAAGCTGAGGCCCTCGACCGCCTTACCGCCGCAAGCCCTCTCCAGCGCCAGGAAGGCAAAGTGGCCTCCGACTACAGGCCTGGCCATAAAGTGAGGGCCAGGCCATCCGCCAGTCCCTTCTGTCTCGTAGAGATCTGTGAAGGGCCGGTCTGTGACGTTGAGTTAGCAGCCGTTTTACACTTGGCGGTTTATTTAGCCCACTTACCAGTCGTCGTCTCATTAACCCAGATCGCAATGCTTTGAAGAATCTCCATCCGGGTCTTCTTGCTGGTAACGGCCGCAGCAAAGAACTGCCAATCACTTTTCGTGTACAGGTGACGGCTATCGAGCGGGAGTCCATAGTGCTGCAGCACCGCATGATACCAATTGCTCTGCATGCTATACACCTTGTCCGGGACGAATGTTGATCGGGCCTCGATGCCCATGGACTTCTGGAACCATCCTATGACCCGTCCACTGAGTGTAGACGTTTCCTTCTCTGGCAGATGGAAGCAGAGCAGCGAGTCTGCGTAAAGGTTGTAGATGGTAGTCCAGGACCCATACCACGTGTAAGCTAACTTGGCGTGGGTACCGTCCCTAGAGATACCGAAGTCTTGCCACTTGTCAATATATTCGCTCGCAATGTCCGTGTAGTACTTGAAATCGTCCGTCTTGCCCAGGACATTGGCAATCTCAGCCATAGCCTTAACACCGATGATGCCCTTGAGAGCCAAGTTCGTCTGGTTCGCGAGCCACCCGGCGAAATCATCTGTGCAGAGCTGGTTCGCCGGGATGAGCGATTCGCGAACCAAATATCCTGTCCACTTAGTCCAGAGTTCGTAGGATCGTGATACCCACTTCTCGGCCTCCTTGGAGCCTCTCATCGTAACTTCGGCCGAGGAGCGGTCCATACCGTATGAGTCCATGGAAAGAGGCCACGGCTGGACACTGCTAGTCTCTGTTTCGAAATGACCGTACGCACGCGCATGACCCTCAACAGACTGAAGGAATGCCGGCTGGGTGTCGTACTTGAAAGCATTTACAAGCGCCAGGCCCATAATGAGCATGTTACCGCACTCTTCCACGGGCATATACTCGTCTCTGCCATCGGGATGACCAGTAGCATTCGGGAAATGGGCGCCTAGATCATGCATGCTATAGTCGTTGGGATATTGTCCGCTGAGCTGGTGCTCGAGCAAGGGCTCTAACAAGTACGCGAGCCAGCGGGGGTTCGTGTACAAAAAGAACGGAAAGGCGGGAAAGATCACATCAACCGTCTGGAAGTTTCCATTGGAGGAGATTTCCTTGAGAAACAGGATAGGATTGTCAGGAGTACCCGAGAACTGGGTTGCGCCCAGCACCTGCCGAGCGGAGAGCGCAGCAATGTCCTGATAATCTTGCGAGCCGGAGGCAAACGCGTCAACACCCAGTTGGTCCGAATAATTCCTGGCCAGTAAGCTGGCCACGGAGAAGTCATCGTAGTGGTACTGTACAAGCTCAATGGGCGTGGCACAGTAGAAAGACCATAGGGGGCGCATCTGCGTCAGTCCTCTGGCGGCCGCAAACTGAACAACAGGATCCTGAATAAGAGCGAAGGTGAAGAGAACACTGTCTTCCGATGTTGCCTCAGGACCGGTCTTGTTGCTCAGGTGAAAAGCCTTGGAGAAGGCAAAGACTGGCTCCTCGTCCATGATCCCCCTGAAAGAACGATCGACCTCGTTCTTCAGCGAGCCCTTTGCCGCAAAATTCTGGCGTAAGATGGCAGATGTGCCAGCTTGATGAGAAATGTCGGCCGGCCCGGTGAAGTGAAGTGTACCCCATTCCGCATGGTCTGCAAATTCGGTCAGCAGCTGCTGTGATTGCCTGCTGACCTTCCAAGTCTTAAGAGCGGCCTCGTGTCCCTGCGAGGCTTCTATCCTGCTAAGCTCCCAGATTATACCATTGCCTCGGTTGCCACTGACCCATTCACCATTCACGTCAGTATATATGTTGATGTCGAAGGAGCCCTCGACGTAAACAGTCAGATACGCAGCAGGAATCGACTGGCGGAAGGTAGACGTGGGCGTAATTGGCGAGAGAAATGAGAGTACAACTTTGACAGGCCCAAAGAATCCCGAAGGCGGGGGGATTGAGTAGGATAGGTTCGTCGTCGAAGCGTCAAAAACGGCGCCCAGATATGTTGGGAATGACAGATTGTAGTGCCAATTAGGGATGTCAGTGTATGATCACCGTCAGCTAGGGTCGGGACGCCTATAACACACTTGGAAGACGGGGGCAAGGAGTCCTGAGGTCGTCCGAGCAGAGGATATACAGTATTGGAGTCCGGTACAGAGGCCATGACGGAAAAGCCAACCTGATAAGCAGGTCCGAGTCAGTTTGCAGGAAAGCAAGCAGCTAGCGATGGACCATAAGACGCTTACGCTGGAGCCCGTCCAGAAGTAGGGCCAGTGTTCCCACGGCGCATCGCGAGCATTACCCAGCCAGGTGCTGAGGTACGGGTTGCGGACGATTAAAGGAAGGACGGGGGGCGTCAAACTCGAGGCGCCGGCCGTTACGGCCGTGACCAGCAGTGAAGAGGGGCGCATGGTGAAGAGAACGTTCCGAGAACCAGCTCCAAGACCGTACAGGAACTGCGGGTTGAGTAGGCCACCGAAGGAGCAGAACTGGTCACAGGGGGAAAAGCAAAGGGACAAGTGTAATGTAGGATATGTTCGCGTGGCTTTCTGCCATGCAAGATGAACAATCGTGCAACGATAGGGTCAACGGCAGTTTGGCACGGAGTAGTAATAGAGAAAGAAGATCAAGACCTGGTGGGGTGAAGAAATGCAAGAAGAAGAGGGCTCGGACAAGACCCTTCCTCGGCCCTGTTTTACACAAGCTCCAAGAGCGTAAGCATCAGGAGCTCTACAAAGTACCTACACACCACCGACAGTAATCACTCCAGGGAACGGTACCTACTTCAAGGCGGCACGGGAACAGTTGGAGAAATCTGGGGTCGAAGCTTCCGTGCTAGTCACAGGTTGATTAAGCGGCAGCTTAGGCGGGAAGCAGGCACATGTACCTGTACGTCAGAAACTGCGGGTACGGCGGGTCAGGTGGAGGACACTGCGAGAATCACGGCTGGGTCTTCCGTCCTGCCGAGGGACTGGGGGCGAAGTGTACGTGACTCGGCGCGTACCAATCAAACACAAAGTGCCGCGCCACAAGCCCCTGTTTTGCGGGGACAGCGGCACTGCTTCGTGCGGGGACAGGTAGGGAGCTGCCCCGAATCGAAAGTTCAAGACGCGGCCCTGTCAACTGGTCTTTGTAAACCTTCGAGACAAACAATCAAGTATTGACTTTTGTCAACTTGGTATTAGAGTCTCAACCAGTCGGTGTAGATATTAGATGGAATTTGTGCGAGATTTTCGGTCCCTGAATGTTATGCCGTACTCGTGCATACGTGTACACACACATACGAGCGATGCGGACTTGAACCATCATCTATACTCGTCGTAATCATCATTCTATATAAGCTACGGTTGGCGAGTCACAGATACTACATTAAAACAATACTCCATGAAATACTCCGTACTGAGTCGAGGAAACTTGGTTCCTACAAAACTTGCTTTGAGCCCCCTCATTCTGCCTATTTTGGAGACTTGTAGGGATTCAGATACAACCGCTGTCCCAAAAGTCGCCTACCTCGGGTCGGGTCAAATACATGCGAACGCAGATATTCAGCTGCATATACCTCATGATTGGACAGCGATTTTGCCTCGGAAACGCGCGACACTATCCTACTCTCTACCCTCCCCAATGCAGTTGGGATTGTTTCTCCTAACGAGCTCTGGTCCTTGGGACTTTCCTGATACATCGCGGGCGGACAGCATATACGCGAAATCCCACACAAGTTCCTCCTCCGAGACAGGACCACAATCATACCATGGATGGAATCACTTGAAGGGAAGGTCTACGCCTTCACCGGTGGTGCTGGCGGCATCGGCCTTGCAACGGCAAAGATCATCGCCACGCGTGGCGCCACGGAGCGCCTTGCAGACATCGAGACTGATGCCATGAGAGACGCCGAGGCCTACTTTAGGGAACAGGAGACGCCCTTCTCCGTCACAAAGGTCGACGTCTCCAACAAGGACGAGGTTGAGGGCTGAATTGCCGGCATTGCGAACCAGTTTGGCCGCCTGGACGGTGCAGCCAACGTGGCCGGTGCTATAGGCAAGCACCACGGCATCCGGGCAGTCGCAGACCTCGAGGATGAAGAGTGGCATAAGATCATTGCTGTCAACTTGACAGGTTGCATGTACTGTCTCAGGGCGGAACTCAGAAACATAGCGGACGGTGGCTCCATTGTCAACGCAGCGTCGATTCACGGCATCAGGGGTACGCCACCTCTCCTTCCTCCTGCCTGATGTACCAAGCCCTCTTCACTCTGACCAGCTTATAAAAAGGGTTTGCCAAGCATGACGCGTATGATGCCAGCAAGCACGGCGTAATTGGGCTGACACGAGCGGCAGCCAACGATAACGACTCCCGCGAGGTCCGCGTCAACGACGTGGCCCCCGGCGCTATTTACACGCCGCTGATGGAGAAGGTGTGAAAGTTTCACAACCACCCGTTAGATGCCGCCTTCGACGAGCCAACGGCATTCCAGCGTCAAGGCACCGCCGAGGAGTGCGGAAATGTCATCGCATTCCTACTCAGCCCAGAGAGTTCTTTCATGAGCGGCAGCATCTATCAAGTCGATGGAGCGTGGCTCTAAACCACAAGCGGCCCTTAGGACTGGAAGGGCAGGTTGGATTGCCCTGTGATAATTGACGATAGGGGCGTTTTCACCAAACATCCGAGGGGTCAACCTCGTGTTTCTCGCCGTCATCTCTAATGTGTTGGAGTTTCGTATCCCTCTTCATCGGCTTTCTCATGTCGTAGGCGTCCTCGCTGTCGCGCGTAGGGTCTGTAGCATGGTCACCATAGTAGTCCTTGACCACGCGGAAGACACTATAGCCCATGCTCTTATAGAATGTGATTGCTTTGTGGTTGCTCGTGCGGACGAAGAGGTCGACGAACCAGGCATCGTTGGCGTCGGCGGCGGCTTCCAGCTGCTCGGATAGGATCTTGCCAATTCCCAATCTCCGCGCTTCTGGAGCAACGGTCAGGGCCGTGATGTGAGCGTGCCATGGGAGGTAATGCTCGGAAAATTTGTAAACATCAGGTGATGATTCCAGTTTGCCCATGACTAGAGCCTTAAGTTAGACAAGCCAAGCGAACCGTGCATTTGGGTTGACCGTTAGACGTACTGTAGCCAATGATGTTCCCACTCATGTCCTCGCAGACCTGGAACATGGAGGGCCACTTGGCATGGTACTGAAGGTAGAAGGCCAACTCGTAGGTCTCGGTGAGTGGGTCGAGATTACACTTGGAGAACTTGTTGACATCCTCGGGACGGAACCGGCGAAATGTGGCCATTGTCGAGGGTGTAGGCGCGGAGGGGTTTCTCAGCGGTAAGGGAGGGGTCGGTACTGAGTGCTTCTTCGATGGAAGCAGGGCGGTTCAGGATAACCGCCGACAAAAGAAGCGCCGGGTGCAGCTAATGCCCGGGGTTTTGCTCAGCGATAGAGGCACCAGAGAAATATTTATTCCCGGGCTGTTGGGCGTCGTGTCCGATAAAGTACGATAAGAGACGAAATTCAATTAGGCTGAGCAGAGATGGGTACTACGAGTAGGTTTTTCGCGTTGGTTTATTCTTGCTGACGTAATTAAAACACAGGCAGACGGAACATCGGATTGCCCAGGGTCAGGCACTTTCAACCACCACTGGATGCAGGGACCGTAGGAGGTAAGTACCTACCTAGGTATCCGGGTAGGTAGGTAAGGAGTGACAGTCCATGCCCCTAACCCTCCCTCCAAAAATGCCCTGGAGAGACGTAGGCGGTCAGAGGTTCCTGAGACAAAGACAAGTGGAGGGCAGCGACGATTGTTCTTCCCTCTTTTCTTCCACAATACCCAGCACTCAGACCCATGCGCCGTCAGTTTCACTGTTCAGTCTGCTATATCATCCCCGATGCCAACGAAGGGGTTACGCACAGGCACTGCTTTGAAAATTGAAATAGATTGCTCATACAACACATCCACCGGCCGGTATCTAGATAAATCAAACAACAAAGCAGACCCCGCTAAGTTGCATTAATTGGATCGCTGGCCGTCAGTCAAACCAACCCGCTACCGAGATTAATAACATAGGCATTAATCACAGGCTCGCCTACGAAAACCAGACCCATCACTCTACGACCTGGGGACACCCAGTGTTGACTGACCTCTGCTACCTTTTGCGCAACCGCTGCTCTTCGCTTCAAGCGCCAGTCCGTTTTGACACCCTTTTCCAGCGTCCTCCACTTGGATGTTCCTTGTCGTCTGTTCGATGCGGCAGCCTCCGTTGTTTGTTTGTTACTAACAAACCGAAACAAGCAAGCAACAACATTGCATACACACTCGACTGCTTGGATAGCCAACACACGTACGCCGTGAAGCGACTTCGACTAGACTTTTTTCTCTTTCTTATTTATTGGTTTTCTTCGGACGGCATCATCGGACTTGCACTATACCCAAACTGCCGACCGATCGACCAACAGTTCGATCCCACCTGTCACGATGCCGCAGACTCCGGGGCACTCGCGTAACCCTTCGAGCGTTGATGCCTCATACCAATACAACAGCGTCAGCTCCTCGCCGCGGCGCAGACGAACATCGAGATCCTCCGCGAACGACCCAGCAACACCTTTACGAAGTAGCTTCAATACCCAAGACCCCCTAGATATCTCGTATGCCAGCGGGGGTATGAACGACGGGAATGGCTTAGGCAACCTTGCCGACGAGCTGGCCGACGCCTTTTCCGATTCCGGAGATGAGGACGAATACTACGAAGATGACAATGACCACGGGATTGGCAACGGCGACAGCAACGGCAAAGGGACACCAAACATCAACATCCAAGAGGCCGAGAGACGTGCCAGCGCAGCCGAGGGAATACGGGACAGCGGGGTCGACGTCGCCTGCCTTGGCGACGACAACAGCAAAGCGAAGAATCTTAGTCTGGGGCCACCACCACTCGTTCAACGCGGCCATCGTCGGAGTGGAAGCGAATACGATGGCAGCGAATATGGATCTGAGTCGGATCTCGAATCTCCCGGCATGCTGCCTAGTCTGGTGGCCAAAATGGACGCTGTGGAGTCTCTGGCGAGGAGAGGAACGGAGAGCAACGGAGGGCCTACCGACGGTGTTTTCCGCCGTGTCACGGAGGGTTTGCGGGATCTGGGCTCTCAGGCCGGCGTCGAGGGCAGCGCGACGAGGTATGTATTGCCTGGCTTCCTCCGTACGGTGTATTATTAACATATATAGGCTTATCACCGCGCACTCGGCCCTCACGACCCACCTCACGCACCAAACCCGTCAACTGCATAATCTGACTTTTCCTCTTCTCTCGCCTCTCGTCCCGCCCCCAGATTCTGAGACGATTGACGAACTACTGCCGCTTTTGATTGAGCTATCCGAGTCCATGCCCCGCCCGACAACCAAGGCCTACGACTCTTTGACAGCCCTCCATACGTTGACCTCGGACCTCGTGCAAAGCCTCAACTATCTCTCAGACACACTCCACATGTCCAGACAAACCACGACAACGGCCACACGCCGCTTGAAGAGCGCCAAAGAGCTGGTTGCTGAGATTAAGAGGGAGGAAGAGCTCCGTGAAGAGGGCGAACAGTGGCTGAACAGAGGGAACTGGAGCGAAAGGCTAGCCAAGCGTGAGTGCGCTGGGGTATGCGGCGATGTTGTAAGCGGCTTCGAGGAGGTCTGTAACGGCTGGCGTGCCCGGCTGTTGGAGCAAGCCAGCTCTGCCCAAGCTTGAGAAGTTCGAGCACAACTACCTATTTATGGACAACATCTGAAAGGCGGACTATTGAAGTGACACCAAAGCTTGTCAAGGGACTTGTCAGGCGCATCTTTCATGCTTGCAAGGTTGGCTATGCGGGGCTTTGGGTCAGTATAGAACCACGGGCGTGCTTTTGTGTAAACCTCGGACTTTGGCGGCTTGCAGGACCCGCAAAACTTGCTAGACTATATGAATTTTCACGAGTTGATGAACACGACACGCAATTCAAGCAAAGGAAGCCTCGCAGAGGACAGCAAAGACTCAAGAGAAAGCAGCGTCTCGGCGCAGTACTGAATTCCATGGCGTCCATGAGTCCAACCAATCAGCTGTGGCACATAGCACGGGACTCAAGTCATCAAAACCAAACATAGTACGGGCCTCGATACACTGCATCGTGGCCAGTTGATCAAGCGTGGGCAGGGTCAGTGCCTCTGTTTGGTTCAAGGACCCGAGAAAACCCGGCCTTGATATCACGATTACCATGAGCTTTCGCGCTTTGTAGCTAGATGCGGCACCATATCTATCATGGGGTACTATATCACCCTGCAATATTAAAGTGTGTGCATTGCAAATGGTGCAATGCGTGCTCACGTTTTCGGCATCCACAGGATTTTGACATTGCATCTTGCGTTTCCGATCGTGAATTAAAGTAAAGTACTGTTGCGCTTGGAGAGAGATATAACAAAGAGGATTTGGCTCAATCCTCCCCCAACCTTACCGTATACGGAGGTCGAGCCGGGCCCCCGTCGGGGTCGTCGACACCATGAGGGGTCACGGGACGAAGTGATGGACTGACAAGCGCCCGGCTCAATCGACTCGACAAGCTTCCATGGCTCGCGCGGCTCAAGGGGCGGTCGAGCCCGTCCAGGCCATGGTCGGCGACGGACCCGTTGGCGTCGTTGAGTGGCCTATTCATGGCGGCAAAGCCCGATAGGCTCATGTTATCGTCGAAGGATGGGCGTGGTTGTTGCTGACCCAAAGCCCCCGCCCTGAGCAAACGTCCATTAACTGGGGGCGCTTCTTTACGGTATTTGACCCCTGCCTCAGTCTCGTCATCGACGAGGACGACCATCCATACGCCCACGGCACCGTTGCTGCCGAGGAGGGGCGTACAGTGTATCCAGCGCATTCGTCCCTCGCTGCTGGACCTGCTAACCCAGCGAACTTTGGCTGTGACGCCGTGACCGTCGGCGAAAGCATGCGAAAGCCCCTCGCGAACCCGATTGGAGCCGCCTATGCGGTCCATGAAGTTGGACTGGAGGATACCCGGTAGCCGTAGGGACGGCGAAGCGAAGAGAATGCGGAGGCTGGGGAAGGGTCGAACGAGGAGGTAGTGTTCATAGACGCCCGAAAGTTTGCCGCTGGCGAGTGGTGTCGCTGGTTGGTGGACGGGTGAGTATTCGTCTTGTATCAGGATGCGGGGCTTGTGCCAGTTTGTCGATGTAGCGGTTTGGTTCTCGTCTTGAGGTACACGGTGCATATTTCCACCTTGTCTCCGAACGGTCTCGAGTTCGGCCATGTTGAACATCTCACTGAGTTCCCGGAACTCATCCCTTTCTTCATCCTCATCTTCGTAGTTATTATGCCCACTAAAAGGGGTGATATCGGCGGCCTCTCTCTCAGCGACGAGACTCTGCAGGGCTTCGAGGCCGGAATTTTCCTTGGCGAGACCTGAGACATCCACCTGTGCGCCAATAAAGTAGCGTACTGTTCCGCGGCTATCGTAGAGCGGCGCCACCATAAGCAGGTTCATGAAGGGCGAGCCATCTCGGCGATAATTGAGGAACGTTTCGTAGTGCTCTTTTCCGGCTAGGCATTTATCACGTAGCCGCTTCACGCTGTAAGGATTTGTCTTTGGGCCTTGAAGAAAACGACAATTGCGACCAATGGCGTAATTCATCCCATACTGAGTTGTTCGGTGGAATTCTGGAATCATGTCAGCCGATGCTTGTCCACCACTCCTAGGGACTAGCACACTTGCCCTCTGACGCCATGACTATGGGATTATCATGCCTTGACGGGTCCGTCAGGCAGAAAACTTCCGCTAGACCCTCAGACATTTCTCTCAGCTGGACAGGAAGTGTTCCCGTAATACGCCGCTTGATCGACATACTAACTGTCTGTATCCACGTGTAGGTGATGTAAGCAGGGAGATCCTCTTGCACGAGAATGTCGAAAGCAGCCTCTGCTTTCTTCTCCAGTGAGCTGTTACATGTCATGTTGGTATTGCCTGACGAAAACTCATATCCAGGCAAGGTATCCAAGCCATTTGCAATAGCGTTCGCATAAGCGATAGCGCGGAGTGCCTTTAGACAGTCAAGGTAGTATGTCAAAAGGGGCAGTGAGGCGGGGCGAACGGAGTTGATGAAGTCGGTGAATCGCCTGAGGAGATTATAGTCTCTGAAAATAGCCTTCAGGTGGTCTTTTGAGAAAAGGAGTTCGGACCGAGCTTCCAACGAGTACTGTCCATTATCACCGTGCGACGGTACTACGAGGTCGAAGGAGCCCGGTTCAATTTCCTCCTCAGCCAACGGCTCGGGGATCTCATCATCGCCCGCGCCTTTGGTCTGGAGAGGCGGGAGTGAGGTGTTATTTGTTTGGTATGAAGAGGTTGTTGAATTGGCCCTTGACCTAGAAGATCGTGTTCGAGGGGTTCTCGTGGGGCTAGGCGAGGTATGCCTCTGCGGGACATGGGTGGGCTCGATGGACCCGATTTTTCTGCTCAGAGGATTCTCAGGAGACTGTACAGAACTGCGTAGGTTTGTCAGGGGAGGTCTGTTATCAAGTTTTGTTGCTGCCCTTGTGTTGTCCGACTCAGGGTATGGTGTGCTTACCTCTTTTCGTGTCTGTGGGCTATGACAATGGGTCTTTGATGTGTGGTCCAGTCATTGTCCTCATCTTCCCAAACCTCTTGAAAGTGCGACGGCATGGATGACTGGTTTACAGGACGCCTAAAGGGGATGTCAGGGATATCTGCTCCGCCTTCGCTTTCACCCATGGCCCGTTGCTGTTGTTGTTGTTGTTGTTATTTAAGAAGGTAACCCTGAGAGTGTTGAAGTTGTCCACCTGGGGCTGTATAAGTTCACCGTGCCTGTGTCGGCAATGGCAGGTTCTCACTTTTTGCGCCGGGACAGTGTTAGCAAAGAACGTGGCAAAGATTAGGGTTAGTGATGGAATCTGCTCTTTAGACATGGCTATAAGTGGGAACGGGGAATGCTTTATATTAGACTTCAGCGAAGACGTTCGTGGGGTGTGAAGGAAGGCGGAGCATCAAAGGATAACAGACATGGGGCGTCCAAACCATAGGCTTCCACAATATCATCCAGCCCTAGATAATGCAGCGCTATCTAGGTAGACAGTGGGGAGGGTGATCACAGAGGAGGGGCGCGGCAGAGACAAAGAAGGTATAGCCAAGGGGGTATATGAGCAATGATTGCCAACCAGCTACACCATTAACAGATGGGCGCACATGCATGGAGTGCGTGAACAGGCTAGCTTACTACGTCAGGTACCCGTCTAATTGTGCCTAATCATGTTCTGTCATCAACCCAGAGCAGGCACTCGCCAACTTTGGTAGCAAGCATGAAAAGGGCATATACGTACCCAATGTTGTGTTATGGAAGAAAGTTGGTCGCGATGAGCGGGACAGGACTATTGTGATTTGAGTTTCTGTTGGGTCCTAACACTGCCAACTAGCCGGGCTAAGTGTAGCTCCAAGCAGTATGAGACATTTTCAATGGCCAAAATGGGGATGATGCAGACGTCAAGGAGCCTTTGCCAGCTTGCTCGCAGACTCAGGCAACGGTGGCCGGTCGGGATTAATCCTACTAGGATGTCTGGTAAATATACGAGAACTGCAAGGTCCGAGGGTGTTTGGACTGAGTGCTTAGACAAACCCGTCATCCGTTGGACAACGGTCCGTGGGTCCGTGGACAGACCAGGGTCCCCTAACATGGTCCTTTTGAGTAGAAGGGGAAGACTTATGTGCGTCTCCCAGGGTCTAGGTAAACGAGATACATTGAAGGATGCGCGGCTCGAAGGAGGAATGATGTTTGAGACGATGCTGTAGAAGCAGAGGGAATGATAATCAGCCCATGGAATATACAGCTGGGAGGGACAGGCTTGACGGAGAAGCAAGAGGCGGTTTTCTGGCTTTGAATTAGCCTCAAAGATAGATGTGGTCTTTGGGTGGCCCATGATCTATCTTCTTTAGCGCAGTGCTGGTACACGACTTTGCTGTCATCCTGACTGACGAAATGGGAATGAAGCGCATTGGGTATACCCTGCGGGATGGGACCAAAAGGATGCCACATTGTTCGCAGCCGTAGCAATGGTCATGACAAAGTCGAACGACTGCGCTTCAGCTAGTCAGGCCTTGTTCTAGTGTGGCCAGACTTGCAGCGGATCTGCCGGGCAATCCTTGGGGTGTGAGCGTTATTATAGAGGAGTCGGCGGATTCCAAGCAACCCAATGTCCACACTCCGACTGATTCGATGACAGCCGATACACGGACCTTGTCCCATGTCCCGAACGGGACAAAGAATGATTAGCGGTTGTAACCTGGCGGGTAGCATTTGACAGATGAGCTAGGCCTGGGGCTAATAACCCATGCATCCCGCTTGCTCTAAAGGCTGGGACTAGTATCATCGGCCTAATCTAGCCAAAAGAGTCAGGTCCTCGGTTTCGATGCTCATGCTGCTTCGATCTGCGGAGCTGCGACGAAAGGCTCGGATCGGCGATCAGACGACATCATCATCAGAAGATATTAGTTCTATCCTCACGGTGGATCTGCAGGCGGCTATATCATTCCCGGATGGGCCGGGTGGGGGGCGGGAACCTTTAAACATCTCTGCCCGTGTCGTATCGCTGCTTCTGATGCGACCGATACATTATTGCTCTCTGGCAGTAGACATACTCGGCACAAGGTATTGGTAGTACTTTACCTACGGCCGCCACCATGAACTTTTGTTGACCATGGCCAAGATGCTCGAGTAGCTTGTCCTTTGACCCGGCGCGCAGTCTGTAAAAGGTAGGACTATCATATTCGCGTATCGGCAAGTGTCTTGCCTCTATCATATCGTGCATGTCTGACCCAGGATCTGCGCAAGACTGGGGCCTTTTGCTGAAGAAACACGCGGCAAATACGGCCAGTAATCAGCGAGGGTTCCACGCGGCAATTTGGAGCTTAGGTCTTTGTTACCAGTGGCCCGGGGCAAGTGGGGTTAGTCATGTGAACAGATCCAAGTGCTTGCTAGAGAAAAGCGCTTCTTCGCAGGCGTTGCGTTGGGAAGGACATTCAGTCGGGGCCACCGCCAATATCCCATCGCTGATTAGGAGTCAGGATCAGCGATAACGTTCTCGGTGACCGAGGGTGTACGCATGCTAGTGGCGACGGTGCCAACGGCAAAAGGTGCAAGGCCGAATCCATGACGATGATCAATGCCGCCGCACCGCAGGTTGCATTTGCTTGGAGAGGCGTGCAAAACCATTTGTAGGGATGAACCCGCTCCCAGGAGTGTGGTTTCTAGTTTCCACATACGAACGGACAGGCTGTCATGGCTTATGCTGGACAGCCGGAATGACAAAAGCTGTGCCCAAGACGATGGGCCAAAGAACGTTGAGACTCGACTGACCCAACTCTATCTGTACTCATCTTCGATAAGGTTCGGGTCGCCGAATCCACTCCGGAGTGAAGACGACAGAGAGAGGTTGCAGATGTGTAAGGCAAGGACTCGTCTCTTTCTGGGTGTAATTGCGAAAGACTCCATTCGGCGATGTCCAATCGTCCCGCGTGGCCTGGCAGTCAATGGCTCACAATTACACAGTAAGCAGTCGGCGCGCTTTTGAAGATGGCGATAGCGAAGGTGCCCAACCCCTTCTTGCGGCGGTGTTTAGTCAACAGTCTCTGTTCAAGATTCTCGGGGGTGGGTTCCTCGGGTTTCAGGCAACTCGCGCGCGAGTTATCGACTCTACGCGAGGTACCTAAGTACGGATAGGTAAGTGCAAATGCCGATGTAAGCGTGTTTCCACTTTACGCGAAACGCGACACACGCGAAAATCACGCGCTATTATCACATGCAGCCCTTGCTTCTCTCTCCTTCATGACGTACACGCGTGGACCGTTGTTGTTACCTGTAAGCGCCCAAAGTCACCTCTTAGCCCAGTAACGCTAGGAATGCCGTCTTCTGACCTTTGAAGCCCATACTCTTGTATACTAGGTAGAACCGGAACCAACAGTCAAACGCGTAACGGTCGAGTGTCACAGAACAGAATTGGGACTCAACGACAAACTAGCAAGTGCGCATTCCAGTATGAGCTTCGCTGTCTGGACGGTATGAATAGGTTCCATCGGTTGACCCGTGCAACAGACACCGAGGCTGGGCAGGTCGATTGTTTGTGGCAGACGCGAAATGGAGCGCCACCCCCCAATCAAAAACATCGACTGCCAGCACGTCCCGACTGTTGACCTATTGGCTACAGCGCGTCTGGCGCGCCCCCTCGCTGGGCATCTATATACGTAGCTAGAGGTAAGTGGGGCCGACTATCTCTTGTCCGAATCGGGGTTCTTCCCTGAGACGCCATGAACAAAAACAAACAAACATCCTTCACGGTCTTGTCCCAGCCCCCCTTTGCCCCGCCAGGGAGGCAGAAAACACGCCAGCTGAATTCCAACGCGGCGGCGACGACGACAAGAAAAGACGCGAACTCGCATCGCTTGGGGAAGCGCAAAACACGCACATGCACACACACTGGTTTGACTAACCATTGAGGCACTTATCCACGGCGGTCCTGTCCTGCTGTTCCATCCGTACCTTGCATCGACTGGGAAGCGTCTCCTAGGTTGGGTTGTTGTCTCGGGTAGCAGACTGTGTATGCGCTTCGTCGGCAACCCTTGTTCGCTTATCATCTCAAATCTGGCATTTCTAGGCTCGGAAGGGCCCTCGGCAAAAGCTGGAACGATTCTTTCAACAATTACAGCACTGCAACAGCTACGGAACCCAGCAATGCAGACGAACGGCAATGTCCAGGGAAACACACAAAGTGAAAATGGCCCATGTCCTGCCTACTGGGTAATGGAGAAACAAGTCCAACGTGGCCAGTCAAGCGCCAGGGCAAGTGGAGGCTATTCCTGATGAGCCATGCGGTTCTGAAAGGCAGGGAATGGACTTGTGTGGTAAATACTATGATAATCGCCAGCAAATTCTGACCCGTGCATGCGTTCTTCTCGAGATAGTAACATAGAGAGCGAGTCGGCATTCCGCAATTTGGAGACTGATCTCTTTTGTCTGTTGGTCTTGCCTTGTGGTGTGCTCAACCAATCAGTTGCAACTCAAAAGGTAGCACACCGAGGGGAGGAGATATGGGGGAAAAGCAAATATACGACAATTGCCTCGCGTTGAGTCTGAACGCCCTCATCGACAGGCCTCCCCCCTTGTCTTTCACGGGTTGTTTGTTGTTATTCGCTGGTAATTGCCAATGTTGTTGTTCCCCTCCCCCTCACCCCCTCCACTTCCATCGTTGCGGTGCTGCGCCAAACGCCCTCCCTCTAACCTTGCCCGTCGCGTCCAAATCGACGAAAGACCCTGGAAGGCGACCCAGACAGCGGCCCCAAGGGGGGGCTACCACCATTGTGTTGTTGCTCTGCCGTCGACGCTAAGGGCCTAATAAGGCTAGTGTCCTGCCTTAACCGCGACTCTTCCGGTTCAGCCTCCCATCAGCGCCTACTTCTAAGGGTTACAGGTCCTCTGACAACAAGTATTACCCTGAGAGTCGGGTGGCTATTGGACGGCCACTGGGAAGTACCGCGCCGCACCGCACCGCACCTATCTCTCACTTCACCTTCCATCACTCGCCATCGACCGTACCCATCGCCTACCTCTGCTCTGCACCACGGTGGTCGCAGACTATCTTTTGACTCTATACACACTCGACGTCCGACGGTCGTCCTGCACCGTCCTCACGAAGACGACAACGACGACGACATCGTGCTCGTGCTCGTGCCATTTGTATATTCTTCTTCTTTCTCCTCAACAGATCATTCTTTCGACAAGATTGTGCCTTGCCTCCCAGCACCTTATTGATTACGCCCGAGCTCTTGCGACCAGTGGGAAAAGCATGCGAACGACAACAGCCTCAACACCACCGTCAGGGATAAGGTGGTGATTCTCTGACCGCGCCGACCAACGGAAACGAACTGACGACCATTCCGGCAATCTATCATTGCTACAGAAAGTCACTGGAATATCATTTTTACTACAATAATCATCGTCACCCATAACCCGACGGCGCCAACGGCTTCGACCCGTGCAGTTGTAGTGTGCTGGTGTGCTGCTAGATCGGTCTCCCCCCGCCAACCCCCGACGCTCATCCCAGCCGCCTTTGCTGAACCTCAACCTTTTCACGCAACTGTCATTACTCCTGCCGCCGACTCGAAACAAACGACGCAACAATGACGATTCCCGTCGATTCTTCGGTTGCTATTGCGGCCCACACTTCCACCAAGAGGCCAGTAGCAGAGACAAGTGATTCTGCAGCTGCGACTCCACCTCGCTTCGCAACACCTCCTCCGCCCTCTGATCGGGGTCACCTCGAAGACCGCCAAAATCTGGAGAATACGAACCAGCGCAAGATCCAACGTAGCAGGAGACCGAGTGAATTGGCTCGAGTCAATGGGTTTGACGCCGACGCGGTCGACAGTGCTTTGCTTCGAGAAATGCACCACCGGTCACAACAGGAAAGCACACCAGGCGCTAGTCCACACCGGAAGCGCCAGAGGATAAATGGCGATAGGTGCGTGTGCAACGACGCGACACCCCTCCCCAAATTCGTTTCTAATTCGGAACTGCCAGATTCATTCCCACACGGACAGGTCAAGACCTCCAAGCCAGTTTTAGCTTGCTTCACGAAGATGGCTCCCCAGCGACACCATCCAAGCAAAAGAAGCGTACCCCTCATGGAGAGCTTCATTTCCAAAAGAGTGAGCCACATTTGTCCTCTTAGGTGCAGGCATCGATCTGACCAACATCATCTAGCTGAGGAAGCAAACCGTACATTCTCGACGCTGCTTCGCGCTGAACTCTTCGAAGGCTCAATACCGCAAGCAACGCCATCGGTTATGTCTCCGGAGCATTCTTTATCTACCACGTCCCACTCGGCACACATACGAGATAGCACGAGGTCTCGCACGCCGCCCAACAATTCTTCCACCACTTCTTTACCGTCATCTTTGACGCCCTCTACGCCCCACAAGAACTTGTTCTCTTACATGTCACCTCGACAGCTGAGCAACGCGGGCCACTTAACACCGTCCAGGACACCCCAAAGCCGACACGGCCCCAACTTGGACACTCGCTCCGAGATATACAGTCTCTCTCCAGTTCGCTTCAATAGCCAGCAAATGTTGCTCAGCCCGCGGCGACAACCTCGGGCGGTCAGCAAGGTACCTTACAAGGTGCTCGATGCTCCAGATCTAGCAGATGACTTCTATCTGAACTTGGTCGATTGGGGCAGCGCCAATGTACTGGGGGTAGGCCTTGGATCCAGCGTTTACATGTGGAATGCTCAGACAAGTCGTGTTAACAAGCTTTGTACGCTCGAGGATGATACGGTAACGAGCGTGTCGTGGATCCAGAAGGGAACGCACATTGCCATTGGTACTGGAAAGGGCCTGGTTCAGATCTGGGATGCCGAAAAGACGAGACGACTAAGGACGATGACGGGTCACACGGCGAGAGTAGGATCTCTGGCCTGGAACACCCACATCTTAACCTCGGGTTCCCGCGACCGACTCATCTACCACCGCGATGTTCGCGCTCCTGATCAGTGGCTCAGGAAACTCGTTGGCCACAAGCAAGAGGTTTGTGGCCTCAAATGGAACTGCGAAGACGGCCAGCTGGCTAGCGGTGGTAATGATAACAAGCTTATGGTCTGGGATAAGCTCTCGGAAACGCCGCTTTGGAAATTTTCTGACCACACTGCTGCTGTCAAGGCCATTGCCTGGTCGCCCCATCAACGTGGATTACTGGCGTCAGGAGGCGGAACGGCAGACCGCAGAATCATTTTTCACGACACAGTCAGAGGGTCTGTCATCAACGAGGTTGACACGGGCAGCCAGGTTTGCAACATTGCCTGGTCCAAGAACTCCAATGAGATTGTCTCGACACACGGGTACAGCCAGAACCAAATTGTCGTCTGGAAGTATCCTTCGATGACGCAGGTGGTTAGCCTCACAGGCCACACGTATCGTGTGCTGTACTTGGCGATGAGCCCAGATGGCAGAACTGTCGTGACCGGTGCCGGTGACGAGACTTTACGGTTCTGGAACGTGTTTGGACGACGGCCTGGAGCTAGGGAAGACAGCGATGGCGGCAGACTTTCCGACTGGGGCGTCATCCGATAAAGACCAGATCGGAGCACTCATAGGACATGATACCACTATCTCCCTTTTTTTTTTCCATCCGTTTCGGGGTGTTTAATACGGTTATAGGTGGTGGAAAGGGTGGAAGGGATGGGACCAGCACTCGAATTATGTTTCATGCGAGTGTTGATGGGAAGAGGAAACGTAAATACCCCGCTACCGGCTGCATCATGTGCATGAAAATGGCGTCACGACAGGTTGGAAGGATACATGGCATTCTTGTTGTTTCCGGGAGTTGTCTTTTCCAGGCGTCATTTACAGGGTTGCCTAATATTGTGGCTTCAGCGGGTCGGTTATGAAGAGAACACAACCTTTGGGAAAGGGTCTCAAAGGCTATCGGGGGGACAAAAGCCGGACGGGAGCGGCTTACCTACGGAAAAGGAGAGAAGGCCCTCGTCATCTTCTGCATCAAACTTAAGCGTACATGGTGTTCATCGCAGTGTTGGTTGGGGAGTGTGGCATATATTAAACCAAACACCTACTACTAACTTAGCGTAAACGGACAAGACCAAATACAACTCAGTCCAGCTTTCTTGCATTCATGTAATGATGCGTCAGACAGAAAACAGCAGTGCTAATCTATCGGCCCTCAAGCAAAGGCGCTCATAAATCATTCCCATTGCATCTGAACGTCATTGTGAATAGGCCCACGGGTATGCAGTATACAGTAAACAAACGTGCATCGTCAATGAGCAAATAAGACATTCCAAGCACTCCAAAGCCCTTGGCAATTAATTGTTTCGCAGATGATTGAAAAGAAAACGAACCCCTCGTGGCGTTGCAGACACCCAACCTCATAGCCGCTTCCGAACTCACACTTCCTGATGGAGGCCAGACTTGGCCTTCAGGCTCCACTTCAACTCGCTTTCCTCTCTCTGGCAACATCTCTGGCACCTCCATCCACGCCGCTGGCCTCAGCCTGAGCCGAAAGCTCCGCACCCGGCAGCGGAATTCGATCCGAGGGGCCGCTTGCCTTGACGCTCTCCCCAATCACGTTATTTTCATGCTTGGAGACATTTTCGAGGTTCTCATCGCTCATCGGATCGTTGGTATTTGCCAGATGCAGCTCACTTGGTGGGGGCCCCTCAGGGTTAGGCATCATCGGGGGGGAATGGCCGCTCATCACGGGGGTGTTTTGCCAATGCTTGACCTCGGCCCTGAGAGCCTCAAGCTCCTTCTGGAAGCGCGTCCCAAAAACATCGATGTAGTAGGTTGCTCCGTTGTAAACACTCCATGTGAAGACGATCGTCAGAAAGGCCGCTGAGGCGTATCTGCTCATGAACCAGATGGGACAAGGAAGCATGGTAAGTACCGCATACGAGTACTGAATCAGCATAAATGCCGATTCTTGTAGAGCGTCCGGCAACGAAAGTACAACTTTGCCGATCCAGGTCTTGGAGTATGACTTTCGTAGCCAGGTGAAGGATGTAGGCCGCCCCGCAGCAATCTTGTCGCGTCTGCGAACTGTAATAAAGAAGTAATAGGACAACTGCCATATAGCATATGGGATGGAACTCCAAGCCAGCATGGAGACGATGTTTCCGTAGGCTGTGGGCGAACCAGCAGGTGAGTGTTTTATAGTCCAAATGGAAGGGAGACGGCTAGCCTGAAGCTCTTCAGGCCATAGGTGGACGATACAATGAAGTGTTGCGCAGGGCATGATGTGAATGAAGAGAGAGGTAACCTTGTCGAAACTGTGGAAAACGAGCGAGTTTCTCCACATGATAATGGCCACGGCGTTGTTGCCAAACGCGAGGCAGTAGGTGGCTAGGAAGAGTCGCTTTGAGCCAGGGAAAACCCAGATGCTAAGAACCAAGAGCAAGTTGACGAAATAGCATAGATCTGCAAGGAAGTAGTGGTAACCGCGACGGTGGTAGGTGAAGTAGCGGATGGGCATGAAGTACATGACCTGAACTGTGTACCACAGGTGGAAGTACTCGGGCCAGCCGCCCATGAGAAGACCGCTCACGAAAATGTTCATGACGCCAAAGATGAAGGACACCTTTTCGCGCAACGTTACCACTCTGGTGTCGTTCCACTGCTTCCCAAGCTTATCAACACTACTGCGCATCCGTTTTCTGTATCTCTCGAGCTGTTCCTCTGCAGTAGGAACTCGGCGCCGCCATTCCTCTACCACTCGTTTTTGGGCATGCTGACTCTTGTTCTTGAAGACGTCTCTTGATTTGCGAACCTTCTGCGTTTGAGCGGAAATGCCTTTCTGTAGCTTTTCGAGCTGTTGGGGCAAGGCAAAGTTGTCAAGAAGGTCTAGCACGGAGATGCGGTCCAGCGGCGGGAACACATCCCAGTCCTCTTGATATGAACTGCTGCCAGAGAATGACGGATTTCTCGAAAGCTCTGGGCTTCCGTAGTTGACAGGCCCTAGTGTCGGTGTATGAAGACCATCTTGGTCTGGTGGGGAGGAGCTAAGGGTGGACTGAGTCTCGACCGGATCGAGAGAGAAGGCGGTTTCACTGTCGGTATGGGCATCGTCGCCTTTCGCGTTGGGTATATCAAGTGGGCTTGATTCGGCCATCTTCGGCTGGAACCAATGTTAAGAAAAAGGCAGATCTTGTCGGCGGTCGTAGCTTCCTATTGGGAACCTACATAATTGACGGGCAAAGTCAGCCTGAATTTTACAATACGATCATCGGGTCGTCACAGTAAAAGGACTATGCGATGTGGGAGAGGAGGTTGGCCGCAAAGTTAATGATACGGCGTACCTTTCTGAGAAGCCACCCTTGGCCAAGACATAGAAGTCGGTCGATCCCTCGAGGATAAAACTTTCGAGCTGTGGTGTTTGGAAAAGAAAGCCTGGGTTCCGTTGCAAGGGCGCGCAGGACAGAGATATGCGGCGCCGCCTATTCCTCTCAAATGCTGGGATAGACGATTTTGCGTTTGGCAGTTGGTGGGGGAGGAATGATTCGGGTGCAGAGCGCCACGCGGGACGTAGCTTGGACCGCGGCGTGACTAGGAGGATGGTTGGGTTGGGTTGGGGGGGCGGGTCGGCAAATGACCACCGCTTGTGATGGGTGTGGTGAGGAGAGAGAAACCAGGAGATCTGGAACACATTGAGCTTTGGTGATGATTTACACGTGTTGATGATTGACCGCCACAGTTCCTTGTCATGTAGCGAGCCTGGCAGGTGGCACCTCACAGCTACCTACCTACTACACTGGTACTTGGTCTTACCTGGGAGCTGGAACAGCATTTTGAACAGGTGTCGTCGCTCCGAATACGTCACAGGGCATGGCTGCTCCGCCAGCCGAAGCTTATCGGGGAGATGAATGCAGCCAGGCACTGAAGGCCTAACATGGACAATAGCATTTGATGCTAATAATGACAGAGTCAGAGCCAATATTCGTCCAACTTGCACCAATGACGCCTGAGCGAGCTTGGTTCCTGACCAGGGCATGAGACGCAGTGTCCGGACTCGGCAAGCATAGGTACCACAAGATGCAAACACAGCTGGCCAGTAATCTGTACAGGTGTTGTTGGTCGAGACGGTGAGAAGTACCTACAGTATTATGTCAAAAGTCCGGTTACACCAATAAGGATAACCTAACGAATTGTTATAGAGGGGACCCATTACAGAGTAATAGCTCGAGGTCACTTCACAGTACGCCATCAAAGCCTCTGTGTCTCAACCACACACTATAGCTTTTGATTGGCCATCCTTATTACTATAGCTGCAGTACTGGGTCAAAAGTTTGGGCATGGCAAAAAGGATAACCTAGTACAGAGGATCCGATTAGCATGAAGTTACTTCACAGTGCACGACCAGAAGTCACGTTTCTCATTACTCCACTACAGCTGCTGATAAGGTCGTTCTTTTCTGTGCCCAACTTTTGACCTGGTATTGTACAGTCTGCCGGGGTTCTAAATGTTAGCTTGTTACAAGCCCCACTTACACGTATAGTATGAGCAAGCACACTCTATTCCTATGAAGCGTCTGAATCAAGTCGATCTAGAGATATACCTAAGAGATCATGGAACTCTGTAGAGGTATCGTTCCTATAAGATCTAGAGGAAAGCGAGTTTTCTGTGGGTTTCTGGGTCATTTCACCATGCTAACATTTAGAACCTCGGCGGACTGTATCTACCTGAATATGTGCAGACTGTACATACTTTGTGATGTTCCGCATCACGTGATACTATTGGAGCGCCGCATCGATGTGGCTCGAGCTTCCACACACGCGACGGGGTCAGCCTTGATGTGTCCGGCCAGTCAGCGTCCCGTCGCGTCCAGGTGCAGCGGGAGCACTCAAGACGCGCGCGTAGGGAAATTCGAACTCTATGCCCCCAAACCGTTACCAACCTCGCTGTCGCCAAACGATTCCTTACGAGTGCCTGTCCGTCATGCGCCAGGCTATTTTGAGCCCCTCAACACCTGAATCAATTGTTATCTCATCCTCAACGTTTGCAACGTAAAACTGCTGCTTGTTTATCGCGTCGCCTTCCTGTCGATCCGTTTTCTCGTGCGCTCACCACTTCGCGTTTGCGACGATCTTTAACTGAAGCACACCAACTGACTACAGCCATAGTCAAGTATCGTTGCGTGTCCTGCGACACCCCGCCGATAGAATGGGGAAACTCATTCGTTTGGAGCTTTTCAGTATGTTCATGTCTTCTCCCTAGTCGTCCATGTTATCCTGGCGCTGACTCGTCCTTAAAGACTTCAAGTCCTACAAGGGCCATCATATCTTGCTATTCGGCGACTCCTACTTCACTTCCATTATTGGCCCTAATGGATCCGGCAAGTCGAATTCGTAAGTCTACTAACCTTCCCGCGCTGCATCTGTCTGCCAACTAACGTACCACACTGGGCAGCATGGACGCGATATCCTTCGTACTTGGCATCAAATCATCGCACCTCCGATCAGCCCACCTCAAAGACCTCGTGTACCGCGGTCGCGTACTCAAAACCTCCAGGATCCAGGATGACGGTTCAGCCCAATCGAATGGTCAAAGTAACGGTGACGGAGATGATCTGTCGCAAAAGGCTTCCCGGAGCGATCCCAAGACCGCATGGGTCATGGCCGTCTACGAAGACGATGCGGGTGACGAGCAAAAGTGGAAACGTTCCATCACGAATCAGGGTTCCAGCGAGTACCGCATCAACGATCGCGTTGTCACCGCTCAGCAGTACAACGAAGCGCTCGAGTCTGAAAACATTCTGATCAAAGCGAGGAACTTCCTCGTCTTCCAAGGAGATGTCGAAGCTATCGCTGCACAATCGCCCCAGGATCTTACACGGTTGATCGAGCAGATCTCCGGCAGTTTGGAATACAAGGGCGAATACGAAAGGTTACAGACTGAAGCTGAGCAAGCTGCCGAAAACCAGAGCTTTCAACTCCACCGTAGGCGCGGCATCAACTCTGAAATCAAACAGTACCAGGAACAGAAAAAGGAGGCAGACAATTTCCAAAAGAAAACGGAGGAGAGGGATGAAGCTATTGTCAAGCATGCTCTTTGGAAGCTGTATCACTTCCAGCGCGGCATTGATGAGTCTACTGAAAAGATTCAGGATCACCAGCAAAATCTGCAGGAGTTCCAGCGCAATGTCGAGACATTTCGGAAAAAACTTGAAGCCGCCCAAAAGGAGCAGCAGGCAGCAGCAAAGCAGGTTCATGGGGTGGAAAAGGCCATCAACGCCAAGAAGCGGGAATTCGACGAGCTGGAGCACAAACTCATCCCGATTGACGCCAAAATCGAAGAAAAGACGCGCAATATTGAGCAGTGCCGCTCGCGTATGGAGCCGGTCCGTAAAGAGCGTGATAAGCAGGCTGAGCTCATCAAGGAGGACGAAGGCCGGCTCAAAACCACTGAGAAAGCACAGAAGCATTTCGAGTCGCAGCTAAAGGAGCGAATGAAGAAGTTGGGGAAGGAGCTCAGTGAGGACGATCGTAAGGAGTACAATACCCTCCGTTCTCAGGTTGTACAAAGGTGCGCCGGCAACCAGGCAAGACTCGACAATTTGATCCGTCAGCAAAAGACCGACGAGGTCACTGTGAATACGCTCAAGGGAAAGGTCGACACCCTCTCGGCCGCCCTGGAGAAGTACGAGGGGGAGTTGGAGACTCTGGGCGAACGCAAAGCATCAACTGAAGGCAACATCAAGGCACTATCCCAGGAGATCGACACCAAGAAAAAGCAATACCACCAAATCCAGTCGGAGCGTGTGAGAACTAGTCAAAGACGCACGGAGCTAGAAGAGAAGCTGGAGACCGTTGCCAAGCAGCTGCGTGAAGCAGACGATGGCCGCCGACAGAATGACCGAGAAGCCAGGATGAAGGAAATGGTCAATAACCTGAAGCGACTCTACCCCGGCGTTAAGGGACGAGTGGGCGATCTTTGCAAGCCCAAGCAGAAGAAATACGATGAGGCTGTCAGCATTGCTTTGGGCCGAGACTACGAATCAGTCATTGTCGATACCGAGAAGACGGGCCACGAATGTGTTCAATACCTCAAGGATCAACGCTTCCCACCAATGACCTTCATCCCTTTGGACAACATCAAGGTCAACGCCGTAAACGGGGCTATCAAAGGCATTTCGGGGGCCCGTCTCACCATTGACACAATCGATTTTGATGCTGCCTACGAACGCGCTATGGCCTACGCCTGCGGAAGCTCAGTTGTGTGCGATAACGAGCAAGTTGCGAAGCTCATCTCATACGAAAGGCGTATTCCTGTCAAGACAGTCACTCTAGATGGTTTAGTCATCCATAAGACCGGCATGATGACGGGTGGTCGTGGCCCAGAGCCAAAGGGCGGAAAACGCCGTTTCGAGAGCTCGGACTTGGATTCGCTAAAGAAGATGGCGGCCAAGTACAAGGAGGAAATTGAGAAGCTTCCCAAGTCTGGTCGCCGCAGCACCGCTGAAGAGTCTCTTCAGACTGAGATCCACGGACTCGAGCCACGTCTGGCGAGTGCGAAGGCCGAACTGGCACACCTGGAGAAGAACTATGACAGCAAGAAGAGAGAGCGAGACAATGAGGAGAGACAGCTCAACGAGCTCCAGCCCAAGTACGAAGAAAAGACGGCGGAGCTTGAAGCAACCAAGCGAACTGTGAAGGAATTTTCGGACGCCATCGCAAAGGTTGAAGACGAAGTATTTTCCGGTTTCTGCAGGAGGCTCGGCTTCAGCGACATTCGTGCCTACGAGACAGAGCATAGAGATATGCAGCGAGAGGCCGACGAGGAGCGTGCCAAGTTCGAGGTGCAGAAATCTAGGTTCCAGAGCCAACTTACACTGGCACGGGACATGCACAGCAACCTGGAGAAACGACTTAGGAAGTTGCAGGAAGCTCTCAAAGCTGCAGAGCGTGACTTACAGACCTACCAACAGGAGAAATCAGATATCGAGGATGCCACACACGAAGTGTCTGATGAACTCGATGCGCTCAGCGAGACACTAGAGGAGTACCGCGGCAAACTAGAGGAAAAGAACCAAAGGGTTTCCCAGGCTAAGGCTGAGGTTCATAAGCGAAGCAAGGAGATTGACGCTAGACAGAAGGAGATCAATGCCCTGGAGACAGTGGTGCAGAAGAATAGCGCGGGCAAGTTTGCGTTACTCAGGCGATGCAAGCTTGAACAGATCCAGATCCCCTTACTCGAGGGCTCCCTTGACAACCTGCCGAATGAAGACAACATGCTGCGACAAGACGCTGACGCCATGGATGTCGACGAGGAGGTGGATGACGAGGATATGATGACCGCTGCTCTTGAGAACTACGGTATTGAAGTCGACTACGATAGTCTGGATGAAGAGATGAAAAACGTATGTGTGCTCTCAACGATGTGTCTTAACAAACAGCCACTGACCAGCCATGCAGTCCGACGATGCCAGTGTTGAGGAGAAGCTACTGGACAAAATCGCATCGTTGACCTCAGAGCTTGAGAAGCTCAACCCCAATATGAGGGCAATTGAGAGGTTAGAGAGCGTTGAGTCGAGATTGAAGAATACGGAAAAGGAGTTCGAGGAATCCAGGGCAGCTCTCAAGGCGGCCCGGGATGCATTCAACCACGTCAAGGCCCAGCGGTACGAGCTATTCAACAAGGCCTTTACGCATATCCAGGAACAAATTTCGCATGTCTATAAGGACCTCACTCGATCAGAAGCGTACCCTTTGGGCGGTCAAGCCTATCTCGATATCGAGGAGGACACAGACACACCCTACCTGTCGGGCATCAAGTACCATGCCATGCCGCCGCTGAAGCGATTCAGAGACATGGAGCACCTCTCCGGAGGTGAGAAGACAATGGCTGCGCTGGCTCTGCTGTTCGCCATCCACAGTTACCAGCCCAGTCCCTTTTTTGTGCTTGACGAGGTCGATGCTGCATTAGACAATGCCAATGTCGACAAGATCAAGAAGTATATCCGGGAGCACGCTGGACCTGGCATGCAGTTTATCGTTATCAGTCTCAAGACTGGCTTGTTTCAAGACAGCGAGAGTCTGGTTGGCGTATACCGCGACCAGGAAGTCAACAGCTCCAGGACACTCACACTTGATGTAAGCTAATGCAACCGTGTATGCTATGACCCGGATACTGACAATAGCACAGCTTCGAAAGTATGCGTAGTACTGAAGACAAGATAACGAGACGTCTTATGTGGGAAAGAGAGAGAGAAGGGGGGACTTGCCTTTGCGGGATGGAGGGGCGGGGAGGGAAAGAGACGAGTCACGATACCAGCCCTGCGTTCTTGGCTTTTGAGCGGTCATGGGTTGTGTGGAGGAGTGAGAGTGTGCTCTCAACGTTTACTTCACATCATGTATCTCTCCTTTCCCTTACACGGTTCAAGGTTAGCGCGTTGTGGCCACGCCGTGGTCTGGCAGGGTTGCAATCGGAGTTTGGACTGTGATACGGCCGACCGGTGGAATATTGACTTTATTTCATGAATGGTCTTTTTCTTCTGTTATTTGAGCCATCATAATGAATTGTTTTCCTCAGTTGTCCTTGACTCCTCAACCCGCGCTAATGCCGAGCTCACAGTACAGGTACTCGGCATTCAGGCAGATGTAGTGAAATGAATTGACAGCCAAGATTGGACCAGAGGAGGACGCCGCGGTGGGAAGGGAGGGCGGATGTCGGTACGTATCTTTCAAGGGACCCTAGCGACCCATCGCGGTGCATGGATGCCTGTAGAAGAGCTACCTATCTGCAGCTCTGTTCCGTCGGCCGCTAAGTACTACTAGGGCCTTTTCCCCGATCCAAAGACTCAATGCGACTGCGATTTCGTGAAGACCAGCATCAGCTTCATTCATCTCTCTTCTTTCTCAAGGCAATGCCCCTAGCCTCTATCACATAAACCAAACCTTTCCCTTTCTTTTGTTTTCCCGTGCCGGGGAGAGAACCTTATAGTTTCGCAGGTGGCGTGCGCAGTCGCAAGTCGCCGCTTCCTCATCACACCTGTCATGGACATCGCTTTTTGAAATAGCCAAAAATATCGTCCGCCTCCGTCTTGTCCAATCTTTGCATATTACCCCCCAGCTCATACCTGGCAGTATTGAGTAGCAAGATTATAAGATGGCTCAGCCGCTGGATCTCGCAAAGACTCTCGTCAAGTCTGTTATGCGTGCTTTCTACGAAACCCGCCACATTCTGATCATTGACGCCTTGATCATTCACTCTGCGTGCGTTTCGCACTTCCGAGCTGCTGCGCAATATTCCTGACCTGCGACAGGCTTCGAGACGATGACTTGGCTTACCTGATGGCGACGAACACAAAGGATCTTCATAAGGCATGCGGAAAGCTCAGAGAGGACCGCTTTCTTGCTGTGTAAGCCTTGCGCCTACCTTTTGCAATCTCCGTTCGGTGCTGACATCGGGCCCCGTTTAGTTACACGAGACTGGAATATCGCGAAGACCCCAAGAACCCCGAGGCGAAACCCCGACCCGTCAACCGAACATACTACTACATAGACTACCGCCAGACCATCGATGCCATCAAGTGGCGTGTGTACACCGTCGACAAGCAGATTCAAGGCACCACCGTGCCAGCGAGCGAACGCAAAGAGTACTTTTGCGGGCGTTGCAAATCGGAATGGACCCAAATGGAGGTACTCGACAACGTTGGCCCCGAGGGTTTTGTCTGTCACCGCTGCGGCGCTCCCCTCACCCACGATCTCGAGCGCAACTCAGCCGGTCACGAGCAATCAACCCGGTTGAACAATCAATTCAAGTTTATCACCGAACTGCTGCCACGTATTGACGAGATGGTTGTACCGGACAACACATTCGATATTGCGATTAGCAAAGCCCTACCCGTCGTGCGCGACGCAAGCTACCAATCCGTCACTACCATACCCGTCTCTTCCCTGCAACCGACATCAGTCAAGGGTCTTGATAACGTCGGTCCCAAGTCGATGTCCGTCAGTATATCTACATCGGATGGGCCATCGGAGGCAGAGAAGGCCGCAGAGAAGGCGCGCAAAGAGAAGGTCGCACAGCAGAACGCACTCCCCTCGTGGATGTCGAATAGTACTGTCACCGGCGAGTCGTTCTCAGCCCAAGCCGGCCCGACACCTGCCACCAAGATCGAGGAAACGGACGACAAGGACGCTGTGGTTAGGTCAGCAGACAACCCAGAACATGCAGAACTGGACGACTACTTTGCTCGGCTCAAGGCTGAGCAAGAGGCTGAAGCGGCAAGGGCAATGGAGGAGGAAGAGGACGATGATGACGATGACGAGGATACTTTTGAGGATGTGACGCCAAGCGTCGCGACTTCAGCTCCAGCTATCAAGACGGAGCCATCACCGGACTCTGAAGAAAGAGTAGTCAAGAAGGTGAAGGTGGAAGCGCCGGTGGATGGGGAGGATGGGGAGAGTGATGAAGACATGGAATTTGAAGACGTCTAGAAGCAATGCTTTTTTTAAGAGGTATGCATCCTCCCCTTGCCTTGGGGTGTTGGTGATCGGGAAGGCAGAATGCAACGATGTACATCTGTTATGGGTTAAGACCTTTTGGTTTCCCCTGTTGCAAGACTTCATTAAACAAGTTTCGCGATTCCACCGCAAAATCCACCACGAATGATCCTTTCACCCCATCTTGACGATTCGAGAGTAGAAAATACGCAGATTCGTTCAGATGTTGGCAAGCCGGCCGCTTCGACAGTGGTACATTGCGTGTGGAGTGTTTGAAGATTGAATGATGTCACCGCCCAAGCAAAAGGGATGATTTGCTCACAAAACGACATACTCGATCGACCAGTAGTCGTGGGTCCCGCCACCTTGATCCCACAACAAGCTTCACCCCTCAGAGGCGACCCGAAATCGCCAGCGGTGGCAGGAGAAGTTTCACTCAAGATACTAACAAAGTTCTCAGCTCTTTATTGTTAAGTAACGCGAATTCGTTTAGGACCTACACCGCTGGCTTGCACTTCAAACCTATATTGGCAACGATTCAGGTGTTCTGCTCACTTCAGTATCAAACGAAAAACAAACATCAAGCCGGCTGACTGTAAGCCTAGGCCAACAACGTTGAGCGAACTACTTTCTGGATCGACATTTTCATCGCCCGTGACGGCAAACGCGCCACTGCGGATTACTACGATCAAGATGGGGTTTGACCTTCCACCCGTCTACCTTCTTGCCACTCACTTGAAGCCGGAAGAGTTGCGCGACCTCAAAGGGAAGGTTTCAAGCCTGACATACAACATCAAGGAGGCCGAGATCATCGTTGGCAATATTTTCAAGCGGGAACGGGCTCTTTTCGAATTAAGGCGCGGACAGGTGTATACCGATCCTGTAGGTGTGGATGATGTCGCCAAGTCACTAGTCAGGATGCCTCGAAAGCGCAAGAGGACATCATCTGAGAACGACGGCGACTCAACTTTGAACACTGGAAATGAAAGTAGATGCGGATCAATTCCGATGCATTCCATAGAGGCTTCATCTATGGCGCATCGGCCCGGTAACACCAATATCGTCAAAGTCGTGAAGCTAGCGTGGCTCACAGACTCTCTGGAACAGAATAAGGCTGTCCCATTTCGTGGCTATCTTCTTTATGAAGGCTACAAGAAGAACTCACCCGAGACGCCTGTCGCAGTGAAGGACGGTGGCATAATATCACGCGCTGCAGCCGGCGATACTTCGCAGACGCGAAGCACTATCCGCTTCGGGGGGAAAGAAGGCAAATCACCGACGGATGTACATCGAAAACCGCTTTCGCTGATCAGGCAAACGACATTAGAGCACGATTTGGTTCTTCAGCTGCCACCTATACCGTCGTTTCTTGGAACGACTTTCGCCTGTCAACGGGCGACGCCTGTTAGACCCCCAAATGTCGCTTTCATCGATGAGTTGAAGAAGATACGGACTGCACGGAACCTAGCGGGCGATCACATAGGTGTCAGGGCCTACTCGACGTCTATAGCTACCATATCGGCATATCCTTATCTGATTACCATTCCACAAGGTGAGCATGTGTCTCCCGTCTCAAGTGCAACAGGATAGGTAATGCTGATACCATACAGAAGTTGCAAGACTCCCTGGCTGTGGAGTTAAGATCGCTGAGCTGTGGCATGAGTGGAAAAAGGCCGGTAGGCTTCGTGAAGCAGATGAAGCTCAGGCAGATTCAAAACTGTCAGTCATACAAACGTTTTACGATATCTGGGGAGTCGGTGACACTACGGCTCGAGATTTTTATAGCAGGGGTATGTTGCAGTTTGGAACGGCAGCGTCCATTTGCTGACAAGCATCTACAGGATGGCGAGACCTGGATGATGTCGTCGAGCACGGCTGGGACAGCCTGAGCCGCGTCCAGCAGATTGGCGTCAAATACTACGACGAGTTCAAGCTCAAAATACCGCGAACCGAAGTCAGGTATATTGCTGACACCATCTTGGCACATGTCCGGAAGATTAAGTTGGGATTTCAACTGGTCATCGTGGGGGGTTATCGGCGTGGCAAACAGGGCAGCGGTGATGTAGACGTGGTGATCAGTCATCCGGACGAGTCTGCTACAATGCACATTATCGAGAAGTTGGTTGTGAGCTTGGAGAAGAGTCAACACATCACACACTCGCTCATGTTGAGTAACCACAACAGCGAGCGTGGGCAGCGGCCCGTCAGTTGGAAGGATAACGAGTCAAGAGGAAGCGGCTTTGACACCCTTGACAAGGCCCTCGTGGTCTGGCAGAAGCCTGAGACCAAGAGTAAGGCATGCTCCAGCGAAGCCGAGGAGAGGACGCATCGGCGGGTAGATATAGTTATCAGCCCATGGAAAACGGCTGGATGTGCAGTCTTGGGCTGGAGCGGAGACATGACGTTTCAGCGAGACCTGCGTCGTTACTGCAGAAAGCAGAAGGGCTTCAAGTTCGACAGCAGCGGCATCCGAAACCGACAAGATGGTAGCTGGATCGACCTGGAGGGTGGGAAGCTTGGGGAAACCCCCGATATGTTGACTGCCGAAAGAAGAGTGTTTAAGGGGCTTGGTCTCGACTATGTCCCACCGGAGGATAGGTGCACCGGATGAGGATGGGTACTGCTTGCGAGCACAACCCTCAGTCAATCCGGACCTCTCAGAACGATGACGAGCTGCCGGGACCTAAGAACCCCGTCATTGTACAACAGTTGGCTGAACAGATAACGTCGTTAACTTGGCGCAAGGCCCTGGTGGTAAACGGCATGTGAAGCGGGAGTTAAAATGGCGTGCTGGATTCCGCCGCCATCTTATTGGGAGAGAAGCGCTCCAGACGCTCTGAAGCGCGGTCAACTAAACTTCGCGGCCTGGCATATATCACCGCCTTCAAGGTCAATCTGGCTCCGTGAGTAACCTCACCCACGGTCTCGTCATTGTAAGCTGGTTCTCATGTTCCCGGCAGGCAAGCGTTGACGCCAAATTTACAGGGGTAAAAGGGGCTTGGAGGCCACAGTCTCCGTTCAATTAGTGAAATGAGCCAAAGTCCGCCGCAAAGTCCGCCGATTCTGGAGAGCAATCATCGGCGGTCGGAGTTTGGTTTTGACCGCCTCACGATCAACAAGCTGCCGTCGGCGAATTTCCATACCGTCGGCACAAGGTTCGGTTCCGTAGTAGTGTATGTGTTTAAGCCTGGACATTTTGGTGCCAGGCTGCGCACCCCACCCCCAAACAGAGAAGAGCATTGGACCAAAACACCTCGCGTCTCGAGCGCAAATAGCTTGGGAAGCAAAATATAAGAGCTAGTGTCTGCTTCCATTTTTGTTTTGGTTTCTTGTTTTGTCCTGCAAACCAAACTTCCCCCCACTTCCAATATCAGTTCGCATCTCTGTAACCGTATTCGCCCCTTCGAACCACATAGAACCCTCCTCACAAGTTCGGTCAATTCGAGTTCTCGGCCCTAGAAGCTTTCCAAACCGGAACCCACATCAAAACCCAAATCGACATACACCTCGTCACTATGTCTCTCACACTCCAAGTCCCTAACGAGTACGGGTATGTGACGGCAGTTTCTGCACTTCCAAGGCCATTGTCCCCTTCTGAACCTGCCAATGGCTGACTAACCGCACGCGCCAGCTACGTCCTCCTCGTCGCCACCTCGACCTTCTTCATCAACACCACCCACGTCCTCCTGACGAGCAAGTACCGCAAGGCCAGCGGCCTCGTCTACCCGGCCCCCTACGCCTCCAATGAGCAGGCCGCCAAGGACCCCAAGGCCTACCAGTTTAACTGCGGTTCGTCTCCTCTCCTAGATGGCCAGATCCCCTGCCGTGCCTTCATACACGGGTGGAAATATATCCTTCAGCCATATCCGAGTCCAGAGACTAACATACGAACACACAGCCCAACGCGCTCACGCCAACTTCACCGAGAACCAGCCCTCGTTCTTAGGAGCCCTCCTCATATCAGGCCTCCGTTTCCCCGTCGCCAGCGCCATTCTCGGCGCCGGCTGGGCCATCTCGCGCATGATTTATGCCTTTGGCTACACGAGCGGCGCCGGCCCCAAGGGTCGCACCCGGTAAGTGCAGGCCCCTTGCTCCTCTGACGTTGTTCTCTGTAGGCATCTTGCCCAAGTAGCGTACTAACAATTTCATCAACCCAGTGGCTCCATTGGGTCTTTCCTCTTTGACACGATTCTCAAGTTCACTGCCGTTTACACTTCCATGTCCATGATCTTGAAATGGTAAAGCCGCTTACCTTGAGAGGGTGCCTCAACTCGGCACATATATTTACTCTCATATTCTCATAGCTGTCGTTTCAGAGCCTATAACAAAGAAACATCAAGTGCAAACGCGTGCCTTGACAGTCACCCGATCAACCACTTCCCGAGTGAATGAACGTATATACAAGTTGCCTACCGATCGCTGCGTACCAACATGAATAATCGTGCCTAATGGCATTAAGCCACCGTCGCTGTAACGCCTTTGAATTCCATACTAACCGACAAAAGAACTGCCTCACTTCCTCTTCAGACGCCGAAGCTCTAAGCTGCGATCAGGCTCTCCCGATGTCGGAATTGCAGTTCCAATCGACTTTTCTATCCCGTTGTTGCCGAGCAAGTAATCTCCAAAGTACTTCATGGCACTGAATATCTCTTCACCGACGGGAATGATGTTGTCCTTGGGGAGTAAAAAGCCATAGCTTCCTGTGTCCCTCAGCTTGATCTGATAGCTGTAATGCGCATGCAACTCATGATAGAACCAGTCAATGGCTGAACCACCACCTGTCTCGATACGACTAGCGCCTGTTTTGGAGCCGCGGCCTGCTACTGCACCCTCGCACGCTGATGTTACCGAGTACAACTCACCGTTGGACAGGCGGATCGCCTTAGCGAGTCCAGCGGCGAGCTCTTCGAGGTTTTCGACGTTCGGCGGGTCCACATTGCAGGAGTAGGCAAATGGGAAAAGAACCTGTTGCGAATACGAATGCAGGTCGATGAGACCAATGAACTCGGCTGTCTCCCGGGACGCATTCTTTGCCCATGTAGCCAACGCGGCGGCTTCAGTAGCCTGCCATGGTTCCTTACCACCGTAGCTTTCGGAACACGGGTCGTTCTCCGAAAAATCACCCCATTCGTAGCCAAAGGCGTGGTCCAGGTCGAAACCACGGCACCATGACATGCCCGTTTGCTGCCTAGATTTGCGCCACAGTCGATCTGTTGTCCAAGTATACTCGATACCATCGGGGTTGACCGCCGGGATGAATACGAAATCAAACTGCTCCAGCAATTTAGTGATCATGGGCTCCCGGCCAAAGGCCGTGATAAACGACCACGCGACGTAGTTTGCAGTGGTCGTAGATATCCACTCGCGCGCATGCATCCCGCCCGTCACGACAACGGTCTTTCTTCTATCAGTTCCCGGCACGCGTGTTTTCGTTCCCACTTTGAGCCCTAAGATGTCTCTGCCTTCGTACGATTGTCCGATGGTGATTGCTTCGGTAATGGCCGGGAACATGGCCTCAGTTAAACGCATCCATTGGGCGATTGTCTGGTCAAAATTAGTCCAATACTTGCCAAAGAGGCGCCACGAGTCGCTTACGTCAAGCTTCTGATAGTCTTGGAAGAAGTAGTTATCCTTCCCACTGCGCGTCGGTTTCAGATTCGCCCGACGGTCATCAATACGATGTATCTGGGCGGGGGTGTCGATGGCCGGATAAGTATCGTATACGGCAGCGGCCAGGTCTGTAATCAAAGTTGTATAGGTTGTCTTCAAGGACACGGGCAAGAGGCTTAGCAAGGATCGAATGTCGCTCTTGTGAATCCTAATGTCAACGTAATCGCGATTGAAGGCCCAGACGTCGAGAAACGTCCGAGCTGCGGCGGCAGCAAAAGCAGTCTCTTCTTCGGCAGTAGTGAGATTGAAGCGCAGAACAACTTCGTTGACATGATCATCACGAAGACTCGCTTTAGCATGAGAACTGCTGGTAGTTGCTTTGGCGGGATGGGGGCCAAAGACGAACTCTACAACGCCGTTGCGCAGCTTCTTCAAGAGAGGGAATAGATCGACCTTGTTTGGACCTGGCCCCGACGTCTCGTGTTGGCGGCCCGAATATATGTCGAAGCGAGTGGAAGAGACGATGGGGGCGAGTAGGACAACGCCGGCGAGCGATATGACGGATTGGGGACGCATGTCGAAGGCTATGACGATGGAAGTGGGTTGATGGACGTAGGCAGTCAAGATATAGCAAGCGCCGACTACCCCGGCGGGTCGAGGACTTGATGAATGGCGCGGTCGCAGTGATGACGGAAGGCGAATCGCAGCAGCAAATCGATTTCGAGTGATGTTGCGCTGATGGGCTACAATGATGTGCTGGGGAGTGTGAATACAGCAGATTCAGAAGATGGGGCAGCAGATAAGGATTTGGGTGGGAGGCCGGCTTGGAGTTAACGTCCCAAAGAGTCGGCATGCAAGGATGGACAGCGTAGGCTCCTGCGCTACCTGACGGACGGTAAGCACTTTTACCTTTCACCGGTCCTCCACCTCTCCGTCTCTTCATTTCAACCGCTTCCGGTCGTCTCTACTTTGCAACGCTTCATACTCGGAATGTGGTTACGGGCAGGGACAATGAGGATGATGATGAATTAAGGAAAAAAGAAGAGAAAACTCGAAGCGATATAGGTTTCTCGGGCTGTCATTTTTTCTTCTTCTTCTTCTTTTTTTTTACAGTTCTTGAGCTGCAAGCTTGCCTGCTGAGTGCCAACTTTGGTAGCGGAAACGATATCGTATCCCGCTTGCTTTATTTCGTAGTCAAGCAAGATGCTGTCTCTCTTGCTCGTTCCAGTTCTCCTATTCCATTTCTATATAGTTCAATTTCTGCTTCCACCGGCAAATTACCTTGTAAGATGACGGACGGGTGAGGGTGCAACGGGCTAGGCTTTATCCTACTGATTATCGCCCACTCCCCAAACCGTCATCCCAGGTCTAAGTATCGCCAGGCCTGACTGTGACACATTTTTCGACGAATACATCACATCGTACTCAACTTAACCCAGTCGATGACCGCTACTGCAGTGCAGGTTGGGACTGGCGCCATCTTTAGGAAGACAGAGGGCGAATGTTGCTACTTGTTCCCCATCTTTCCGCCGCATGTCTATGTCTGTGGTTTCTGTATCTTGCGTTTTGATGACCTGAATGTTCATGTTTTCGTGCTGTTCTGGGGCAGAAAGAGGGAATAAAGCCCCACGAACCAGGAGCAAGGCACCTTGGCCTAAAGCCTGTTGCAACGCGTGCCTCCCTCTTTAATTACTATTGTTTTTATTCTCCCTCAATACTGAGACGCCGCGACGCCAAACACAACGCCAGCAATTGGTCTGTGTGTGTGTGTGTGTGTGTGTGTCTCTCTCTCTCTCTCTCTCTCTCTCTATGTATGTTTCCCCCCCTTCCCCAGTCTTCCCTGTCTGTACTGTTGATCCAACTTAATCCGGACATTTCCCATAATTTCCTTCCTCACTTACCCTGTACTTCAGTATACCTTCGTTACCTTCTCTTGCCCCGTACTCTTTTTTCTTCTCTTCACTTTGTTATTACATTATTCGTCTCCCTCTCAGTGTCATTCGGAAAACCTTTTCCAAGTCCCGTCTCCTCTCGTTCCTATTTGTCCCACATCTTTTGATCCTCGGCCACCAGGCAGCTGATCTCCCTTCAAGTCCGCGCTCTCCCTAAAGTCCAGGTACGCGCACCCTGCGTTCGCCTAGCCCGGCCTTATTACGCACCCAATACGGTTGCTGGAACCCCTACCTCCCTTCGTCAGAGTACCGGTAGATAGGTAGGATGCCTGGTCGTCCTGTCTTTTGCGTTGCACTGCGCTGAGCCTAACACCCTTACCTCACCTTACCTTACAAGGTACCTTACCTTAACTGTCTTCGCCTACCAAATCCGATCTCAACTCAACCCTGCTTACCTTCCTTTGCCTTCCCTCCCATCAACCCTCCTCTTTGTGTCGACCTTTCTCCTCCTATTCTCTTCGCCAATGTGTCCTGTCGCCCTGCTCAACGACCTTACGCTGTGCTGATGGCCTAGTGTACGGATCCGACGGCATTCCACAGCATCCGGACTTTGACCGTCGTCGTCACCCTACTACCTCGACGTTGCATCCCTGGCAAACCATGACCCATCGCCGCCATGCCTTTTCTTCGCCGTCGCGGCAACGTCGTCAGCGAGACCGACATGAGGCGCCATTCCATTCTTGACATGGAATCTGTGCCCCAGCTACCGCCGCTTCCCCAGCACTTTCCTCCTCAACACCCTGAACCCCAACAGCAGCAGCAGCAGCCACACCGTCCTCAATCACAGCAGCTCCAGAAGCAGCCAGTCGACCCCCAGCCACAAGAAGTCTCTCAATCGCAGCCGTTGTTACCATTGTCGCAGGAACAGCGGCAGGAGGGGCAACAGGAGCTCCTAGAGAAGGAGCAGGTGCAGCATGATGATGAGCGGCGCCGCTCTGTATCTGCCTCGATTCAGGAACTCCAGTCTACCCTTCTTGCTGTGCCCGCGCAATCCGATGGCAAAGCCAACAACTCTGCTGAGCAAATCCCCGACGATCTAGATACTCGACCAGATACCCCTCCAATCCAAGACGAGACAACGAAGCACCGCCGGTTCTCTATATTGAGGTTTCGCAACGCCTCGGACTCGCAGTTGTCCCTCAGGGTCAAGCAACAGGCTGAGAAGCCCCCCCTGTGCCTCGCCGTAAGTTGTCTTCAGACTACCTTTACCAGTCAACGCTTGTGTCCCTTGGCATGATCATCTTGCTAATCAGTAGCCCTAGCACCCGAAATCATAACAACCGCCCCTACCCTCGAACTACAGATCCCTCAAAAGAAGCAATCTCGCATGCGCCTTGCCGACCGATTTCGACGCTCTGGTGAAATACCAAGGAATAGCGAAGATGGAGGCGCCCGGGCCATGACGTGGAAATCGTCATCAAAAAGAAAGACGGTGTTGGAAGATCTGACTTCAAGAAACCGGTCGACTCTTGTGACTTTCGAAGAGCCTGGTCGCCCGTCATCGTCGAGGGCGCCGACTAACGGAGAACGCCACGATATTCCCAACCTATCTCTCCCCGCAAACCGAGCCTCGGAATCATCGCGGTCTGATGCAAGCTCGGGAGAGCACCTGTACACCCCAAACACGACGGGCAACTCACCCCCGACAGTTCCAGGCTCCAGCTTCTTCCGTCTGCCGCGGAGGAAGAACAAGGTTGTAGCCCCCTTGTTCGACTTGTCACATCTGCCACAGAAAGGCAAGTTTACGCATGGGAATGACGGCGCTATGACAACACCCTCATCGCTTGATGCATCTCAACCAAATGCCGCATCTACATCTCGAGAGAACACCCCGCGTCCCCAACAGGGATCGCGCCCTCAGTCGAGTTACAGCGGGTGTGCCGACTCAGTAGCATCGTCAGCCCAAGACCAGTCAACCAAACCAAATGCCTCAGCCGCTACCGCTTTCTTCAGGCCAGGGTCAATTCATTCAGGGCAGTCTTCGCCGACCCGTACCCGCTTACAGCGCCGAGGTAGGTCATCGACGATGAGCTCCCTCGGAAGGGAATCGACAGATGGTCATCTTGATCCGGGAACTGGACGAACATCGACATCAGTTGGTCGAAAGAGCTTCGGCGACCTTTTCGGACTGAACCGTTTGCGCCAAAACTCTGATCTTGGCCAGGGTCGGCAGGGCAGCTTAACACCAGCGACACCTGGCTCCAACACATCGAAAAACAACTCTTTGCAAATTGCGCGCGAACCAATTGCTCTACCCGAGAAGTTGGAAGACGAAACACCAGTTAAATACCTTGGTCGGATCGAGGAGATCCTCAGTCGTGGAGTGATTGCTAGTGCGCTATCTAAAGGAAGCGATCCGTTCTCAATAGCAGTTCTCCGCAGCTACATGCGTCGCTTCAGTTTCTTCGAATACCCGATGGATATGGCCATCCGAAAGCTCCTCATGGAGGCCGAGTTGCCAAAGGAAACACAGCAAATAGACAGATGCCTTCAGGCTTTTGCGAATCGTTACCACGAATGCAATCCTGGTATCTATGCCTCTCCAGATCAGGCGTACTTCGTCGCCTTTTCTCTCCTCATCTTACACACCGATGTCTTCAACAAGAACAACAAGCACAAGATGCAGCAGCCCGACTATCTAAAAAACACCCAAGGAGAGGGTGTCTCGGATTCAATTCTGAAGTGTTTTTATGACAACATTACGTATACCCCTTTCATTCACGTTGAGGACGATTTAGACCTCAGCAGCGATCGGCTTTTGGCAAACAGGGCCAAGCGGAAGACGCTTTTCCCGGGAGGCACACCGGAGACTGTCGCCAGGCGGTCAACCCGCGAGCTTCTTGATCCCTATACTCTTATAATAGACGGCAAGCTGGATATCTTGCGGCCGAGCCTCAAAGATGTGATGGAACTCGAAGATCATTACAACTACTTGGGAACGGCCAATGATCTCAACGTGAAAGAGCTGCAGAGAACGTTCTTCAGAACTGGTGTCTTGCAAATAGTGTCGGCTAGGTCACGGCCAGATGCGTTCCGCGATGACAAGGGCTCCACCAATCCGGCCGAGGCGGCTCAAGGCGTTGTTGATATTAAGATCACCAAAGTCGGCCTTTTGTGGCGTAAAGATACCAAGAAGAAGAAGACGAGGTCCCCGTGGCAAGAATGGGGGGCTATTTTAACTGGCGCTCAACTCTATTTCTTCCGCAACACCACCTGGATCAAGAACTTAATGCACCAGTACGAGACCCATGTCAAACAAGGATTCGATGGCGAGCCGATCACGTTCAAACCACCACTTCCGGAGTTCAAGCCGGACGGGTACCTGCCGACAAAGGAGGCAGTTGCTCTAGTCGATGCTACCTACAAGAAGCATAAGAATGCCTTCAAATACTCTCAACCTAGCGGCTACGTCGAGGAAGTACTTCTCGCTGACAACGAGGAGGAAATGAATGATTGGCTTGCCAAGCTCAATTATGCAGCTGCGTTTACAACATCAGGCGTGCGCATGCGAGGCGTTGTAGGCGGCAACTATGAAGGTCAGAGCCGGCGCGGCATCAGAAGACTTGGCAGCTCGGCCTCTGCGCAAGTAATCCAGACTCCCACAGGCGATGTCAGTATCGTACGCGGGAAGATTGATCATAAAGAGGCCGAATCCATCCAGGCGCAACGGCGGCAGACTATGATGGATGCAGTTGCCAAAGCTGACGAGGAGATCGGCCTGAAAGAGCAAGAGCTCGAGGTTCACCTGAGAAACGCCCGACACTTGCAAATACTGTCCCCCATCCAAGCCAAAACGAGAGACCAGATCCTCTCAGCTGCGGCCCATATGGATGTCAAGATCAAATGGATCCGCATGGATATATGGAAGTCGCGGTGTCATCGAGATGTTCTGTTGAAAGATTTGGCCGAGGAACAGAGTATGCAGGGCCTAGCGCTCTCCAAGACACATAATGGGCACGACCCGCGCGAAGTGTCTCCATCTCGAGAGAGGCTGTCCCTTTTCGGGGCAGAAACGACAAACAGCGTTGCGCGAAGACGTCGGCGGTCATCGGCTGCTGTCTCCACGATTCAGGGATCATCCAAAACGCCCCAGGCAGAGCCTGAATCGCCGGCCACTGAGGCTTATCAAACGCCGCCAACGAGCGCGACTTTTAGTCCGCATAAGCACCAGAATTCTTGGGATTCCAAGATATCTAAAACATTGGAGCACCTGCAGCACGAAAGACCTGGCTCTAGCCACAGTCATTCGTCTGTCGAGCCGACTTTCTACAGCCCGAAACAGCACTCGACACCAAAGAAGGATAAGGGCGTTGAGCAATCTGCAACGGATGATCGCCACGATGACGTCGACGCCAATGAGCGGGTCCTTCTGGAGCAGGCTGGTCTCCTCGATTCGGGTTCACGCGGTAGGGTTCTGCTGGAGAGAAACCGGACCAGGTCGCTGTCCGAGGCTGGAGATGCATCCGAATGGCGAGACGCACCAGGCTCAATCGACAAACAGGACAAGACAAAGATCAGAAGGAGCTTGCAACGCACACTCAGGGAAAGCGCCGGTCATCTCTCACATCATCGCAGCAGAAAGGGTAAAGAAATACCCTTAAGCGGCGGTTCGGACGACACTGGTCGCGAAGACGTGCTCACCAGAGGCACTGGAAGTTTTGTGGTCCATGGGAAAAAGGCATCAGTCATCAACTTCGGTTCTGAATTACAGCAACTTACTCCGGAAGAACGTATGAGGCACCGAAAGCAAGATCAGCGCGACGAGCCTCCATCCCCAACAAGCCTTGACGAAGACTTTCGCGATGCTCTGGATAGTTCATCAGTCCCCAATGAGCGACGAGAATCGGCCGCTAGCGCCAGCACCGCCACAGCAAGAAGCTTCCGCGAGCTTCATCGCAAATACTCTTCGGCACATGCACCAAAACCGCCTATGTTTGGCGGTCGGCTATCGGTACCTTCTGATGGCGAGAGCGAAGCGGCAGTCAGCTTCTCAGAGGGAAGACGTACGCCACTGCCTCCCATCGAGAACGAATCCGGAGACGAAGAAGAGACTCAGGTTCCCGTAGACGGTCCGCAACCCATTGCAAGCACGCAGTCTTTCCCGAGCCCGCAGCTCATTGTTAGCCCGCAGCCCATACCTGTGGCACTGGCGAGTCCCTTGATGACCTCCGAGTCATCGAGCCCGCCGGAGCATCAAAAAAAGGAGGGCAGAGGTGGTGAGGGGGCGGAGATGCAGCGGATACCCAGTCCGCCCGTACAAGCAGTCAAGGCCTAGATGACCAAGATATGCCGCAGTCTTGGCAATAAAGACGTGTCTAAAAGTGACAGTGGCGGCAGTAGGCGATGAGAGATCGATCATAGATGGGGGCTTAACAGCGGTTGAGGTTTGGACGCCACAGTGTCCGTTTCCTGTGCTGAACGAATTTGAAGTGAGAAATGGGACGAGGCACAAAACATATCACTACAACAGCGTGGGCAGACAGGGCACCTTGTCTGTCTTCCTTTACTACCTTCTTTAAGTGTCAAAATCGCAACAAAACGGAGGTGTGGTCGATTTACAATATCGCAGATGCGTACAAATGCATGGATTCATGGCTAAGCGGGGAAAGGACATTGGACTTTTGGGCATTGCATCGTGAAGGCGACTAGGATCAAAGAGGAGTCGGAGGGGAAGCCCTGGCGGGCCAGTATGCGGCCAACGGTGTAACATAGAGCAACCGCACAGCGGTCTATACCTCTTTTATTCAATGTGACCTTTTGTACTCAGTAAGGAGCGTGGCATGAGTGGCGTGGTGGATCAGAATTTTTGTATTTTGGTAACTTGTGAACCGCCAAGCCTGGTGAAATGGTCGGGATCTATCAACGAAAGGGGGGAGGGTGGTCAAGAAGCTGGTGAGAGGTCATTGCGTCTCCTCATTTCTTGCCTTTCTTCTTCTTCTTGGACGACGAGGTTGGTGCTTTTTCAACCTTGACAGATCCCGCGCCGCCCGCCAGCTCCAGCGTCTCCTCCTTAACAAAGCCGCCCTGAGTGGCCTCGTTGGCCTTCTTCTTACCCTTCTTGCCCTTGGGTCGGTACGAGGATCTGTCGCGCAGGGGCAGCCACCGCTCTGGGTCCATTTTCTTGCCTTCGACGTAGTCTTTGGGAAGCTTTCTTCTCCGCTTCTTCTTGTTGGCCGTCTCAATCGTCTGGACGTCAAGATGGCGCTTCTTAGCCTGGCTGGCCGGCGTCGCGAAAGAGACAACGCCGTTGCCAACAAGCTGATCGACGTCAATTCCATCGAGGAGTTCATCGATAGGAGGCAGGTCTCTAAGGTATGGAGTAACCTTGGCTTTGTTCGAGGTGGCGAAGGACGCCACAAGGCCGGCGGTGGCTACGTGATCCACGCTGGGCCTCTGGCAGAGTTTCTCAAAGGCTGCACCAGCTGCCATGAGATCGTTTGCGTCTGATGACTTGAGGAGCTCTGAGCCGGCACCGCGCAAGAGGGAGTCGACATGACGGCCGTCTCGCTTTTCCCAGAAAGAAGAAGCCTTTGCTAATTCCGACCGTATACTGCTCTGGCGGCCTTCTTGTCTATAGAGAGAAACGGCTAAAGCGACTAGCCCGGGAGAGAAGCGTACTTCTGCTGTGTCCTGCTTCTCCAACTTCTGGAGAAAGGACTCAAGGACAGACAGCGCGGCGCCAGAATTGTTTGCTGCAAGGTAGAGCTGTACTATCGTGAGCAGCAGGCCGATATCCGTAGGCCGCTTTTCTAGCAGGGGGAGAACATTCTTGACTTCGACCGTCTTGGAATGACGCAGTGCACGAGCTGTGGCATTGATGGCTGACAGGCTGTTGGTGTCCACGGATACGGTCGGTGCAGCGTCGGCGAGTGCGCGGGATGTCTTCTCATAGACACCGTCAAACTTTTGAGAATGAAGACCAAGGATGTACTTGTTCCGCTTCAGCTCGCTCTCTTGGTATTGAAACAACTTGGCTTGCTTGCTCAGGGCTGCTGCTGCGTCGACTTCACGTTGGGCCAGGTAGGGGTTGTTGACTTCTCTCGCAAGAGCCGACTTGTTGTTCAGAGCAATCAACCTCGACTCGGCATCCCAGTCACTGCGCAATCAGTTAGCATTACTCCATCCTTGGCATATGTAAGAGGGTGACTTACTCGGAAATAAGCAGACGCTTCTGGATTTCAAGGGCCTGGTCAGCCTTGCCTAACCTTGAGTATACATGAACTTGCTGAGCCATAATGGGGATCATTTCGGCCTTCTTGTCATCCTCTGACAGCTCTTCGGATTCTTCGCAGAGGAGCAGAGCCTTCTGAAGGAGCGTTGAGGCCTTTGACAGCTCGCCACGTGCAATGGAACGGCAGGCAATGTTGTAAGCGAGCTCGAAAGTTTCAGCATCTTCGGCGGTAGAGATGTGCGTGTCATCGCCATCAAGGTTGTTGGAGGACTTCCACTCCAACTGGGCGGCAGAAGCCAACTGATTGATCTTTAGGTCGCTGTCCTCGCCCTGGGGTTCCTCCAACAGACTAGTGTAGACGTTGAGCGCATCCTTGAAATCTTCAGCCCGGTAGGCGACCTGGGCAACGAGGTGACGGTAACTCCTTTGGTGCTTGGAGATGGCAATCTCGCGGGCCTCTTGAAGCTTTCCCGTCTTGTACAGAGCGTATGCTTTCTCCAACAGGGTAGCGTCCTCGAGCTTGCTGCCGCCGTCGGCAATAGCTCGTAGGGCGTCGTCGAAGCGGTCGAGTTTAAGGAGGGCGACAACCCGAGTTTGTTGAGCGATAATGTCCGATTTGGAGACCTTCAGAGTGGCGTTGGCAACTTTGAGGACTTCTTCGTGGTCTTCGATGGAGGCTGCCCGCAGCAGGGCGCTGAGGTTGGCTGCGGGATCTGAGGGCATCGTGAGGGGGGGAGGAGGAGCGGCGGGGAGAGGGCTGTGTATATCTATGATCTCAGTAGAACCAATGCTGCATGCTATGTCGGTTGATCACAGCTCTGGTCGGAAATTTTCGTAATGCTTAAGATGAGCGACAGCCGACGAAAGGGTTTGAGGCGATCGGCTGGTGTCGCGGGTGTCGCTGGCCTCTGCTGAGCTTGATCAGAGCGATCAATGAAGAGAAAGTTGCGAAGACACACCGCAGCTGGTTAGAGCACTGAATGGGGTATAGATGGTGGGGCAAGACAAGTGACGCGCTGGCCGGTTCAGGTGCCCCTCCTGTAGCTCTCCAGCCAGATCGGGTGTCGCGATACTTTGGAGCTACTTCAGTCTCAGGGTGCCCTGACAGGAGCCAAAGTTATCGCATTTTAGCGGTAACGACAAACCCACATTCCAATTTTTGGGGCCTTTGGCTTGACGAGGCTCTGGGATGAGATCGATGACTAGATCCAAAGACTTGAGCCACACCAAATCACTCATCAACATCCTTATCGATTCACCAATATTGTTGGTAGTTGATCTCAACTCTGTTGTGAAGGCTGCATCCTTTCTCTTGCTCTACCTATCATACAGGGTGTATACCCGTTTCTAGGCATACAAGTACTTCCAATGACAACCCGATAGTTTCCTACCTGTACTATCCATCACGGTTATAGATCGTGATTCCTATTTCGTCATAGGGATCAGGCCGTCTGCAAAGCATCCGCGTAACTCTAGTTTCCCGGGTCATTGCTGCTGTATCTGATGAAAGTGCAGCCACTCAAGCGGTCAAATTTTTAAGGTGGCGGAACACTCCCAGTACAGCCGGCTCATCCTCGCCCAAATATTTCCCAGAACCTCTTCCGTTTCACTTCAGGTCGGTGGTATGGTCTCAAGGGATACGTCGGGCGTACGGTAAGCTCATCGGGCTCTTCTGGGCCCTCCAATTGCCGCCGGTGGAGCCTGTTCGACGTGATCTCTCCTAGCTTGGTACTTCCCGACGAAATCGTTGCTACCGACATACGCTCTTTCACATACACTTGCTGGGTATGGCTGGGAGCGTCCATGACGATGAGAGTCTCTTTTTCTGATTCTTCGTCTCCATCTTGTCCTCGGAGGAGTTTAGCGCCAGGAGGTTCCCTGACCTTGTGCTTGGACGCTCTGCGTAGGGGGTTGTTTCTCTTCTGCCGCTTGCTCTTCTCACCTAATCCGGACGAGATCGAATTCGAAGATGTGGCATTGAGCCGGCGAGAGAGATCTTTGATGGTTTTGACAGCATCAATCCGTGATGAGTTGGACAATGTCCTAAGTGAGTGGTAGTCGATAACAGGTTTTTGCCCTCTCGTTATGAGATGGAGTAGCCGTGTCATAGCAGACGTCAAGCGCTTGATGACTTTTCTCAGCGAGGACCGCGCTGCAGCTGTAGTCTCGTGTTAGAAGAATGCTACGCTACTAAGCGAGTGGAAATACACACCATCACCCTTCTCGAAATCACTACCAGACATGGAGAGTCGCGAGGAATACACACTTCGAACTTTAGACCGATCGGAACGGATGCTCTTCCGAAGTTGACGGGGCCGTTTGCTGCTGTTTGTCCCTTTTAAGCCCTTCAGGAGCGACAAACACTTGGAATATGTTTCCAGGAGCGACTCGACTGTTTCGCCAAACCCAGCCATCGCGAGTAGCGGACTCTGTGGAATCAGCCTAGCCAGTGATTGGGATTCAGCCAAGAGTAACACTACAACGCAGCTTGGTGGAAGAGTCACGGTATGAGTTGGCCCATCTCGATCTTCTTTCCCCGCCCATTTCGACAAGGAGGGTTGGAAATTTTAGGAGCGATGACAAGAGAAGACGTGCTGTGGTTGGTTCTGCAACCGCCGCATTCTCTTATCCTGGCTTCTCTTCGGCGCACTCGCCTGGCCAACCATTTGATCGCAATCTGTTTCTCTCGTGGGCCGTTCAGAACGGAGATCAGAATAGACATGTGAGTGAAGCTGTAAAACAACATAGCGAAAAAACCAACGGGCGCAAGGAGATGACGGGGACGAACACATGGAACCTTCCGTAGATCTAGAAACTTCCGGCCGTCCACAGTTACTGGCAATCGTGCGTGCATACTCTTTTGATAAAATGGGAACCAAGAGTTCGCTATTAAGCCAAACCAGAGCATCGCACCTTTGCAGCCGGAATTTGAATATACAAGGCGTGCCCTCGTTGATTAAAAAGCAGAGTATCGTCATGGCTGCTGTCATGGCTCTGTTGATTGAGTCGAGAGACACAGAACGGCTTTTTTTTTTCCTTCTTTTTTTTCCTTTTTTCCTCTCTTCCTTTCTTAGCGGGTGGGTTGATGGGCAGTTAGATACGACGTACAATACTGCATCCTGATAGCGGCGAAACAAGAACCCGCCAGGCCGCCGCGAGACGACGCGCCCCTAGGCGAGATGCAGCTTTGTTGTACCGGTATCGCCATGTGTCTGAAAATTGAGCTCTGGAGTCGGCACTAGTAGTAATAGCATCTGACTTCAGCCTCCTTCGTCCCTCATGGGCGGCCTCGACCAGCGGTGAGTCAATCGAGCATATCGGATTGGTATCCGCTGAGCGTTGTTGATAAGGCAGGTGTGGCAGGACAGGGCAAAGAGATATGCAGGGTTTGGATGTCAAGTGTTGACAGGGGTTTGTCGGGGACCCTGTGAATGGTGATCCCGCAAAGGAAACAGTCGCCATTCTACTGGCCAATGAAATGCTCGAGAACCCTCACCTAGTCTTGCGAGGCACCAGTGGAATACATAATACATTGTGCCTGAACGGGACTGACATTGATGAATCTTCTTATCCTTTTTGTCAACCGTGAAGATAACAAGGTTGCAGACAGCCTTGCCTGGCCTGGCCCGGGTCTGGCTGGCGGTGTCAGCGCCTGTATCGCACACATGCGCATAGATAGTGCCTAAGGTGAGAGGTATGCAGAAATGATTGGACGGTGCAGATTTGCAACAAATATGTCTCATTGTCCCATTATCTAGACATCCTTGGATTGGCCTGACCGAACGGAGTATCCCGCAGGCTGCCGATGGGGTCTGTCTGGGCGGCGACAGCGGGTGCGGGCGTCTCGACGTCTGTGGTGCATATGTGAAGTTGTCATGTCTAGTCCTTGGGCGGCCGTCTGCATTTTCGTAGCACGACGGTGTACCCGTCGATCGCGGCACAAGGAGCAAGGTCCCAAAAAGTAAGTAGAGTGGGTGGTGTACGGTACACTGTTGAAATAAGCCGTATTTGCAAAGATCCGCAGCGATCTCTCGAGCAATGCATGTAAAATGACAAATGAACTTGTGGCGGTTGACGGTCTACAGGAACAACCCAAGCGGCTCTATCGTCCCTGGGTACTGAAAAGAAGCCAAGGCGCATGTCTATTAGAAGTAGAATAGACAAACAGATTGACCAATTTGGTGCGAAGGCGAGGGTGGAAAATAAAAGGGCACCCATGTCATGGCTCGAGATGTCTAGATGGACCAAAGGTACTACGAACACGTATGTTTGGACGGCACCTTGGTTCGGACCCCTGCTCGCTAACGCCCACCACAGCAGGAGAATTAGGTGATGAAGGGATGTGGAGACAAGGCGATGACACGTGGAATTCAGGCAATCATATCGTGTGTTCTACCATGTAAGGAGATACCACATGATTGGTATTCATGATGCAACAGGCACGGGATGGGCTGCATTCATATTAGCGGGTGCGTCGGCGTTCATGAGCGCACAAGGTACCTACATAATAGCGCTATCCAATGAGACGGCCTCGACAAGCTGAGAGTTGCGAAAAAGGTTGCGTCTTATCGGGTCTGTCCCCCCACATCCACCACACTCACGGACGGCCCATGGACCATCAAACGGGCGCAAAAGGTGGGCTGCGACAGCAAAGTGTGGGAGTTATCGTGTCGGATGCTATCTCTAGCTCACGAGAGTATCTACCCAGTCAATACCAGCCCGCCCGACATTTGAACAGAGAGCCAGAGCTGATCACGACATCTTCCTGCGGGCGGCATCGTTTGAGGGCAAAAGCTACAGAGCACTGGCTGATTGATAACTGACATGTACCTACCCGTACACTAATGGTGGTATCCTGCCGGGGGCGGGGACACTGCGAGATGGGCAAGCTCCCATTTTTTATACCTTTTGTCCTTGTACCTAGGTAAATGAAGGCGCCCCTCCTTCACTCCCCCCAATCCCGCGCAAATACCCACTTTCCCGCCTGCCCGCTTCCCGCTTCCCCGTATGATGTCGTTCTGGGTCTCTCCCCTAAACAGGAATACAACCAACTCGAGGCCGTTCCGGCGCCAGGTGCTCGCCCTCATCTCCACTAAGCGTCAGGCACGGAAAACCGGTCCCAAGTGCTTAGTTACTTTCCTGAGTGTGCATTGATGGGTTTTGGTTGACTTACGCGCCAAGTGCGCTTGCTCACTGAACCGAAGGCATCTTATCTGTATCTAATTCCCTCATCCCCCCTGGTCCTTACGAATCCGGCCCCTTGAACGGCATCTACCTCCCCTCTCCCTCCCATTTGTCTGTCTTCAGGCTTCCCTTGTCCCATATCCTTTGCCTACGCCTCATCGGGACCCTACCCCCCTGGTCCCAGAACAGCAAAACTTGACAACCCGCTCCCCTTCCCGATCTGCTCCAAGAATAAACCCCACCAATCCTCCCACCCCCTTGTCGTTCCGACGCAACACCAGACGCCCTCCCCCTCCCCCTCCATCTCCATCTCCATCCACTCCTACTTCTTTCCCGCATGGCCAACCTTTTTTTGTCTTCATCCACGACCATCTCTTGGGTCCGCTACTCTCACCACCATTACACTCGCCCTTACCTTCGAATTCAACCTCGCTCGCAAGCAGCTTGCCTCGTCGCCTTCCATGTCTCTCACAACCGCTGCCTTGTCAACGACACGAGGACTCTTGACACTCTATCTCATCTACAGTTCCATTGAATAAGTCCCTGCAATTCCTTATACCCTCGCCACTCGGTACTCTTGTAATAGCGATACCTACCCGCAGACACGTCCATCAACAATATACAGACATCGATCCCCGGGCCCACTTGGCCCAGACCGCTACCTCCCGCTTCTTGTCTCCTATCACTCACTGCATGGTATCTAAAGGAACCGTTGCCCCCGCCTTCTTTGCACCAAACCACCCTCTCTTCTCGCTTTCTGACCATCTCCAAACTCACCAGCTTTGTGCTGTCCTGGCCCCTGTTCCCACCGACTAAATCACATCTCAACCAGTTACTGTCGCCCGCCCCTCGGCAACCACACACCACGCGTTCCATGGACCGACTACTCATCTGTACTGCGCTCAGCTCTCAGTCTCGCGCTCGACCCTTTTAGAGTTGTGCTGAAGCTCAACGTTGTCGACGATAACTCGCACACTTGAAGCCCATTTACCGTCTTGCTCCCGCTGTTTTAGCAGTCCCCGCTTTCGCCCCAAAGGCTTCCTGCTTCAAGCAATCCTGGTCATCTTGATGTCGGCGACTTCCTCTCCCTCAACGTCGCAGGGCCCCATTGGCCGCATCGACGAGGAGAATCTACCTCAAGGCCAGTGCCGCTATATTTTGTTGACCCCCGGTATCAAGGGCCAGCGATGTGCATGTGTGCACTTTTCTCTAAACCGCTCAATGCCTGGGGCAAGCTGTGACTGCGGACACATGGCCTGCTATCACGTCAAGAGCCCGGAACCATCCGCTACCCGACAAGAAGTTGAGCTACTGAAGCGGCGTCTCCAGGTTCTCGAAGAACAACTGGACCAACATAGGCAGGGCGGTCTTGGAACCGTCGTCACTAGGGTGAGCGACTTGGAGGAACTGGTCGACAAGAGTCGGGAGGAGATCAGACAGGAAATCAAAGGGTCATATCGTAATATCAACAGAGTCTGGCAGTCTGTTGAACAGCTGGAGCGGCAAACCTCTCAATTGCAAGAAAACATGCGGTCTCAGTCGAGTCATTTAGACAATGTCGACAACGAGCTGAGAACCGTCAGCAATCGACAGATGGAGCTATTCGATGCCGATGAGAGCATGGAAGAAAGGCTGGAACAGTTGGAGTCTGACCATGATTTATTGGCCAGTCGAGGCAGTCAGCACATAGATCCTGACGCTGCGATGACTTCGATGCGTATCGATATCCAAAGGCCCGTTTGCCCACGGCAACCTCCATCTACACCACCTATTCAGACCGGAGCTCAGAGTCGTTTGAGGGATATGCATTCAGCGCCTCATGCTTCCCCAAATGCCAGCACCACTGATCCTAACGGCAGTTCTCGGACTTGCGACGCCTGGACGGTACATATCTCACTGCTTCCGACAGCCTCTCAGCCCTTTCCATTCGAAAGGGATACCAACGCTTATAAGCGCTGTCTCTCTCGTGGTCTTCATCGGACGGTGGTTGTTGGCGGTTCCGACTGTGGCTCCTTTATCGAGGCCGTCGCTAGGTCGTTTGGTGGTCTCATAGAAGGGAGGCCATGGATGCCTTTAAAGGCAAAGCTCTGCGACGCTGAAAGACTTCAGGGGCTTCCAATGCTACGGCCGCTTGAGCCTAGACTTGTCGACAGTGACTACGACCTCGCGTTCCTACGAAAGCATTGTGGCGTTTGCGAACCCAGTGGCAAAATCGAGTCGCTGTACATCGCAATGCGCCAGGACAAGCTCTCGTGGCACTTCTTAAGAAATTCTCCCAAATTCATAGATGGACTTGAGGACTGCTGGGCTTACGATCCTTTCTTAGACCCAGTCAACCTAACTGGGGACGACCTTATGGATGAAAGCGACCGGCCCTCAGCTGGTGACATTGTTCCGAGTTTTCCGAGTCTCAAACGCACTGCGTCCGAGATGTCCCGAACAACCGCGTTGACACCCTCGGCGACAGCCGATGAAACAGACAATCCCCGGAGGAAAAATCCAAGGACTACTTGTCTACCTACACTGATTGAGTCGCACCGACAACTGGAGACGGTGTAAGACGTCGGCGATATCCTTTCCTTTCACGGCGAGTATAGGAATGACTACGTTGTAGACGCTTGATCGGGGCTAAATAATAACTCTCCCCTGCAGGCCGGGACGGAGGTGGGTGATGTACAGATGGTACGGTCTTGATTTAACCCCATGCAATACGCAATACGTCGTCCGAGGTGCGATACGATAGAAAAGAGGTCGGATGGCCTAATGTGTTAGAGGACTCTTATACCCATTTGAATTAGTTTGGTCTGAAGATGGATTGCTTATCTGTCATATTATTGGGTAGGCAGGTTTGTAAGCAGATAAAATAATACCAACAGCAGAAATACACAGTATCTCCAACTTATGTTTTTATGTTTAGATTGGGTCTTGTTAATGTGCTTGGAGTGAGTGAATACGTTGGCTGTATAACTTGCATTTTCGGCGGACTGCAGTTCCTATCTTTCAGAACTGTGCCAGAGGGGGTGCTGTCCGGGCGGCCGATAACTTCTTACTTTCATTTTCTAAAATGTAGTTAGTGAAGTCCGGAGCCGGTCCGGCTCTAAGAACTCAAGCTTGTCCCAAAACAGCAAGGGCGCCGTCGACCAGCCGCCAGCCTCATTCTCCACAGTGGCTGAGCGGCCGAGGCTCCGACGACTATTCAGCGCCAATCATTCATATTTCCCCGTCGCAGCTCACGACAAACACGAGCTCAACGCGCCCGGATACCGAGTGTCTTCTAGGGAAACCCCCTAGGAAGCATATCCTTCGAGCGCTCTTTCTTTTTATAGGAAGTTTGTATCGCTCCCCCTTGCCCTATACTCTTCTCGGCCTTCTGCCCTCCACTTCCCCAATTCCAACACATCACTTTCACCATCACTGCTCACAGCCATACCGGAGCGATCATGGACTGGGATATTGACATGGACGATATCGCTGAGGGCTTTGCCCCTCCAAACGTCACAATCTCCGACAGCACGGTACGCAATGACTCCCTTCGTATCCCACATCGGTCCTCTTTCTTGCTGACCTTGGGCATAACAGAACATCAGAGAATCTGGTACGGCACCTACTACGACCGAACGCGACCCAGAAAGCCCAACCCTAGTATCAAACAAGGTCCACATCCGAGGGCTGGAGACACTGACGACGGACGATATCAAGACATACGTGAAAGACCATTACGGCCCCATGAACAGGGTGGAATGGATCGACGATGAGTCTGCGAACCTGGTCTTTGGGTCCGAGTCTTCGGCACAGGACGCTTTGAAAGCCTTGAGCGCCATAGAGATCGCCGATGTGACACAACTGCCCATCAACGAGACCATTCCAGCCAAGGCTGTGGCATTCAAGCCAGACGTCAACCTGCAAGTCCGGTTTGCTATGATCTCGGACAAGAAGGCACCCGGTGCTGCTCAGAGAAGCAGATTCTATCTTTTCCACCCCGAATTTGACCCCGAGGAGAGAATGCGAGGCGATGGAAGCAGAAATAGGTACCGCGACCGTAGTGGGGACGATCACTACCGCCGTAATGGCCGCGGAAGAGGTCGGCGAGACCGAGAATCAAGCGTCGAGGTATTCCATGCAAGCATGTACGATGACGAGGATACATTGGCAGACCACGATTCTAGAGCTGCACGGCAGCGAAGACGATCCCACTCCAGAGGCTCGAGCTCGCGTGGAGATCGTTCTTACACGTCTCGTAATCAGGAGAAGGAACTCTTCCCGGGTCGAGGACCAGCAGGAGGAAGGGGTCAACGAAACCGTTCAGCGTCGCCCAAGAGGGATATCGACGGTGATGCAGCAATGGATATGGAGGCAGCACGTATTTCGAGGCCCAGCAACAGAGAGAGAGCATCCGGTATCAAAGAGCGTCTGGCCAGGGACAACAAAGCCAAAGAGCTGTTCCCTACCAAGGGCTCATCGGCTGGCCAGACACACATGGACAGAGTCATGGATGGTACGGACGAGACTACACGATTGATGCAGCGAAACTTGTCAGTAAGCAACGAGGGAGGTTCCACAAAGGACCTGTTTGACATACGAGGCAGAGCCCTGAAACAGGGCGTCGACACTGGCTTCACAATCAAGGGCGCAGCGGGGGCAAGCGTCAAGGAGCTGTTTCCTGATCGCTTTGGGAGCGGCAACACAGAAAAGGAGCTCTTTGCCGACAAGTTGGAGGGCCGGGGCCGCAGGCGACAGAAGGCTGAGGATTTATTCTCCTAGCACTTCAAAACCTGTTACGCTCCAGCCAAATTTCTGCTGGCAGAAGGATGGTAGGGAGTGATCGTTCACAACGGTTGTGGAAAAATAGTGTATTTGAATGGCTCGTAGAGGTGCCATAGACATCCTAAATCTGGCGCAGGGTGCCATGGTGAAACATCAGAACACATCTCATCAGACACCAGAGTATCAGATTGTGGTGGGCTTTACGGTGGAATGAGAGCATCGTTCATCATCTTCTCATTCAATCTGCCTGTGGAAGAGAGGCGAGGCATTGTAGACCCTGGTGAAATGGCCACCGATAGAGTTCGTAAGTGGGGGAACTGGCGGTGCTTGGTCGATGGGATTGCGGTTATCATCTCTTCGTCTGCTTGGCTGTTTGGATTCGGATCTCTCTGTATTCTCGCCCCCAAGATAAGAAGAGAAACCAACACTTAACGGGGATATTTCACGGACAACTACAGCATGGACAACACGGAAAATCTACAACGGGTGGAAGGATTGGAACGCATGGTTGAGCGCGAGGGAAGGAGCAGGTGCACACAGACGTGGAATCAATCCATACCTGCCAAGTTCGATGCTAAAAGTCCCGGCTGAGATACCCATCTTCCTCCCTTCCTTCCTCCACCACATCATGGAAGTGCCATATCAACATTGTTTTCGCGGCCGTATTATATCATCCCATCAGTACGTCGTGGCTTTCATGGATAAAGGGTTTTCTATACCCTGACGCTTTGTTACCCTCCCTTCAGCAGTCAACTCGTGGAAGCCTTCACCCATATTCAGTAAGAGGCTCTGTGCCCCGGACTCACGGGGTCCCTATCAACTGATCCAGGAACCAATTCGACAACACTAACGGAACAACCATCACTAGTGGAGAAACATGGCTGAGCTTTTCTTCAAACCGTTACAAGCTCAGCGAAGGGGCCCGGAGATGACTTCCGTACAACCTGACGAGGATTCTCTGGCACATCTAGATGTTCTACCATTCAGACCGCGGCAGCGGAGAGCAATCCCGCGCATTGCAAGCCTTGATGCTCTCAGTGCTTCCAGAATAAGCGGAAGCGCCTGCCCCAGCATCAGATCCGATATTTCACAGTCATCTTCGCACCGGCTGTCGCCCTCACCAGTCGAACCGAACGAGACTATCTGGTACCGGGATCAAACTCAAACAGAGGCCCCAATGTCCTTGGACCAAATGGTGGATGCTTTGCACTACATCATGATGACCAAGCCAGTCCTTGACCCAGTGCCGAGAGAGTACAACTCATACATTCTGCACTTGCTGGAAGGGTATTGGGGTGTCCAAGAGCAGCTCAAAAAGACGAAGCAGGCTCTTGCAGAGGAGCTGGAAACCAAGCAGCGCAGCCTCGAGGAGTTTACCAAGATGTCTGACGAATGGCAGGAGAAGGAGGCAGACTTCCGTTCCGAGATCAAGCGCATGGAATTGGTGCTCGCCAAAATAGCCCCTGAAGGCGTCGGTGCTGTTGTCATGGCCAGGTCCCAGAGCATCGTGGACAGGAGCGCCAAGTCCTCCAAGATTTTCAAGGCCAAGATTGACAAAGCCAGGAGCAGTCCCGACAGAGGTCAGTGTTACTTACAAGCAGTCCAATCACCAGTGCATTTCTTTAGCCGCTAACTGACGGTTAGATATGTACGGCGCCTTCAATCCTGACAGCATGGAAACTACGCGCGTTCCGAAAGTCCTTGAGAACCCACACCAGACCCATCGGACTCTCTGTAAGCTACTTCTAATGGCTCTTTTCTTCTATATGCACGCAAGCTAAAAATTCAGTATCGATGCAGCCGAAACTGGATGACAACGCAGATGTCGAATTAAGTCAGGAGCTGGTGAAGGCTCAGCGAAAGCGCCAACGGGTCATCAAGCATGCCAGACAGAACATGTCCCTGAATCCTGTAGACATAGTTCGGAATCTTGACACAAGCTCGTCGGATGAGGACACCACATTGAAACCGCTGCAGAGGACACCCGAGTCTTCTGCCAGGCCTTGGACGAACCAAATGTCTCGCCAATCGTCATGCATACGACGAAGCGAAGCCTCGTACGTCTCGAAATTCGCGATCAGCACGCCGCAGGAGCATGATACCTTGAGTCAGCTACCTGACAACGCCCTTGGGGAAACCCCCAGCCTCAGTCCAACGGAACACGGAGAAGCTGTTACGAACATAATGGCTGGTGGGCGGTCGGGTCGTGCTCACCCACATGTCATAACGACAGTATCTGACAACCAAACGGAACCTTCTAACCGGGGGTCCTCTAGGATTCACCGGCACAAAAGAGTTTTTTCGTTCGACCCTGGAGATGACGACATTCCACGGCAAATTCGGGCTGGAGTTGGGTCCGCAAACGGTCAGAGATCTTACATGCACATGACAAAGTCAGCAACCATCGATCAGGATCACGTTCTGGGTAGAACGGTCCCTTCATCGTCGAACAACCCAGACACGCAGGGTCTGACTGGACGGGGTGGATCATAGGCTCAGCATCGCGGCTCCTAGCCTACGCCTCTTTGCAACAACCTGCCAATCCCACGAATTCCTTAGGTTTCATTAAAATCATCCCAGGCAAGGAGTCTAGCAGACGCGGACGGGTGAGGCCTACCGAACATCGAGATACAGAGGCGGCCATTCAAGCGGCATTCGAGGCGCCAAAGCAAGCAGTTACTTGGGGGCTGGAATCAAGCAGGTCCGGAGGCTGATCATCCTTTATTTTCTACCTGTGATAATGCTGCAGAACGTCTGTTAAGGCAGGCCAGCATGAGCAGGCATGTATACGAGCCGATGGAGCAAGAGGCCGGCAGAATCGATGTCCCATTGTCAATTCTTACATTTTTTTACTTCAAGCCTTTGGTAGGCATCCTCCTTCCCGTATTTGGCTCTACTTATGTAGATAGGTAATCAACCGAGATACCTCCCTTGCAATATTTATGATGTGGCGTGCCTATAGGATGTGAGCGGGCTTGCATCCCCTCGTGGCTACCTCTCTCGCCTGTATGTGCATTATGCCGTCTCTTCGGTGTTGTATTAAACCAGGCTACTAAGCGGTCGGTCTTAACAATAAGCTGCAGGTAATGTGAAATGGGGCTTTAATCTTGAATCTGCGTCATCTATCTATCCGTCGAAGGGCTGGCCCTTATGTGAAGTCATATCTGGTCTTCAAGTGAATGCCGCCGCGATGACAGAGCCATCCGGAGGCTGGTGGCCGTGAAAATGGCTAGGGGCGGGAGCGATTCCGTTGCCAGATTATGCGATCCGTTCAGGAACCCTTTCTTGTGCATTCATGGGAAGTTCAGGAATGTCTATGACCAACCTCGTAACGATGGTTGTGTAGTTGCTGGGTAAAGAGCATGACTGCTTGCACATCTCCCATTCCCGCACCTCGACGGGTCTCGCGAAACCTTCATCACTGTGACATTTTATTCCCATTCCTATCTCCGATTCCGTTATATTGGAGGCAGGGTCGACAATAGGAGTCGTGTTGGTATTTTGAACTATGAGAACTAGATCATATTTTTAGCAACGCAATTGGGATCACCCCACGATGCCCTTACCCAGTATGGTAGGTCCCCAGCACTTTTTTTGCCGTGAATCGTAGCTGATGTCAATTCAAATCATTCCGACCCGAATGGCAGGAGAACTACTCCGTTATTGATTCTACCTGGCCCGTTTTGAATAGATTCTGGAATCTACTTCCCGGGAGGTGTAAAGACGGTGATATTTTTCGTGCTGTTGCCGGGCTTATGACCTAGTATTTTAGACCTAAGATACCCATGTGTAGAACGATACGAACCAGGAGCGGGTAGAGGGGGGCTGGAATAAGGAGAGAAGCTGCCGGAGGAAAGTAACACGAGCAAACCGATCCAGGCCTGGAATATGGTACAGGCATGGGCAGCTACTAGGACTTCGAGTTCCCTTTAGCCTCTCTCTTTTGGATTCGACCTAGAGCTCGTCTACTGGGCAGAAAGCTTACTATTCTGCTGGTTCACTGTGAGGTTGTTGAAGATGTATTGAGTCAATTCCTCGACACGTATGTTCTGAATCTTATCTAAAGCGACGAACATTGTCCCAGAGGAGGCGAAGAACAGGTCTTGATTCACTCTCTAATTCACCGTCTCGACCCTTCGCTATACGATTGACCAACCGTCGAAACCGAGAGCCACATATACGTAGAAGACTGGAGACGACCGCCACTAAATACGCCAACAGAGACGAAATGAGAGGGAAAAGTTTGATTCCCTCTTCCTGTTAAAAAGGGAAAGTCTCTCTACTTAATTACAGAGCAAACAAAGAAACAGCCTCTCGTAGGTTATGACACACACTTGCCGCCTACCCGAAGGCTACAGAACACTCCTGCAGGCGCACGATGTTGCCTGTAGACAACAAGAGTGGTGAAAGGCCTGGGAAAGCAACTAACTGACGGCCATATTTGTCTACACGGACTACTCGACGATGTGTCAGCCAGTACTCTTGGGAAACCCCTCTTGTGTCAATTTGATATTGGTGTTGGTATTGTTGTCGCAGTTTGCCGCGTGCCAAGAAGTGGCGTCCTTGCCAAAAGGCTATATAGCCCGACTTGAGGCTTCGATCACGAATTCAGCTACCGCAGAGGAGGCGGAAGACGCATAGAACAATGGAGCTGAAAGGTAGCACGCCGTGAGCCTTTGTAGTGCTGTGGCTGAGTGATCGTTCGAAAATCGTATCGCCATGCTCGAGTCAGTAGTGAACGTATGCACTTCTTGGAGAGGGATATTGCCGTTGAGCACATATACTACTTCGTCCACTAAACACACATGACTCGAATCGAGGCAACTGGCTCTGTGGGTTGTGCCATAAGTTTATGGTGGCGTTTGTGATGGATCTTGTTACCGTCTTTCTGTGCTGACGTATCTTTGCTCTTTCCCGTAGAAGAAGAGACAATGGTCAGAAAATCTTAAACAGATACCTCTTCATCACTATTTGTATAACATCTTTCTGGATAACGT